TGAACAAAAGATGTCCACACTATGCAGGAAAGGAACACGTTTTCCCGTTCTCTGATAAAGAAGTTTAGAGACATTTTGGAGTAGGGGTAGTCGGTCGTAAAAGGAAGGGGAATAGTCAAGGAAACCTTGTACAAAAAGCCCGCTGAAAATCGTGTTCCCAGTTCAAGGAAAAGGAGTATTTTCACTGAGTTTTCTTGACTGCAGGAAAAGAAAGGAATGTCCACACTATAAAGTGGGCGTGTGTGGGGGTGCACTTGTGCATGGTGCCTTGTGGGGTACCGGAACAATGGAAGGTACCCCACAAGGCCAGTTTTGATCCTTGTGGGGTACCAAACACAAGAATTTCACGAAATAAATGTTTCAAATTTACTCAAAAAGGGGGGAATTTTCAAGTTTGCGACGGATGCACCCGTCGCAAATTGAAGTGTTTTATATAAGGGACATACGGTCGAAATTTCAACCTAGGAAACTGAATTTGGTTGAAATGACAGTGATTTGAAATTTTTTCCGGGTTGTGTGGGAGTTTTGTACACGAGAACAAAGGAAATACCCCATACACAAGTATACATATGAAAGGGTGTGTGTGTGTGTTGATTGCCCTTGGCTGCTTTGGTATAGCTTTACACAGCGAATCTTACGTCTGTTTTCTGAAATAAAGTTAAGACTGATCACCTATCTCTACGATATATGGCGTCGACCACAAATTTTCCATTTTCTCGTTATTGTAACAGACTGTTAGCAACAGCGAGCCATATCGGTTGGGCCATTTGGAAACTATATCAACCTATTCGTTCCCCGGTGTTCCAGCGTTTACTGAGCCGTGACAGCACGTATCTCAGGGAACTCCCCCGCAACATTAGTCGGTCAGGAATTGAACACACGAACCTCTTATTCGAAGTGCGGAGGCTCCTCCAACCCTCATATAACCCACGACATCCACAGACGGCGAGCGTTCAAAGTGCGACTACCTCGATCGGCACGGCATTAGCCGGCGGTCCGTGCCCGCCGCTGGAACGCGCGCGTGCAAAAAAAATCGAGCAAGCTGGGTGACGTGCATTAATACAGGGGCGGGCAAGGAAGCGAGCGATTTCCCGCGATCGTTGTATGGACGGTTGCCACGAATTACAAGACTCCAACTCGCCTGCTGTGCTCACCGAGTCAAAGATTAATAGGATGCGCCCGGAAGCTTTGGCAATTCGCGGTAACGTAAGTATGTTGTCAGGTTTCAACCTCCCCCCCCCCTCCTTGTAGCTCGATTGGGCGTTTGGACGCCATTTATCATCGACGACGGGCCAGTGTCATGAATGTTGACTTAAACACTCCTTCCTTGTTGGATGTGTCAGGGTGGTTAATCACGCTGGAGTGTTGCTAAGACCTGGACAAGGAAAGTGCTAAAGTTAAAAACACAGTCGCGGTGCCGCATCACCAGCAAGTTGACTGATGTTTAAGCACACCATCGATTCCATTTGACGAGAGAATGTTTCCCCCCGTGAGATGCTAAATACAGATTTGGTAGAGTATAGATGTAGAATGGGCTGTTTTAAGCAAGAACATCGCTCAGATCGTTTGCTGGCTGCTTCAAAACCATTTGATCCCCTTAATAAAAGAGGCCTCTTACGAGCAAAACATTCGAAACATGGAAGTAATACATTATCGAATGATGAGATATATCGATGCCGGGCTACTGAGACTCAAGTCGATAACGTGTTGAAGTGAGCTTTGCCCCCTTGATTGAAACATACTTCAAGTCTACAAATTGTTGTGCAGAAAATTAAATAACCTTTGAAACTGATCTTTCCAACTGGAAACAAGCTGAAAAAAATAGGAAGAATCCAGCGTTCGAATCACCGATGTCTTCCAAAATTATTTTTTTACTTTGCCTATTTCTCCACGCATTAAAGCCAGCTTAACCGACCTCCTTTTACCTTCTTTTATACCTGACCATATCAGGAATGTTGCTGAACATGTGTCGCATATAATTCATATGCCAGTTTTGCTGCATTATACCCGCACGCTGTAAAAGCCACGTTTATCAACAGCTGCGGTGGGCAGCCCGATCGGGTATCACAACTCGTAAATAACGAGAACACGCACAATATTTCTGGGGCTTGTATACAAACTCCATTCAAAGTTCCCCTGCCGTGTTTTGAATTGCGCCAGAACAAACTACAAATTAGAACGCAGGTCGCTGGTCGTTTAAAATAATGATGTTCTTTTTGCCAAGAAGCTGTTTGGAACCTACCTCTCACATCGCACATCGTTACCGGCAACTTGAACATAAAAGTTACAATTTTTGTTTACTGAAGTCAGTTTCGTGGATGTGGTAGTCATTTTACACTAGAATTATCTTCTGCATTGAACCAGATTTGTTCATGTTTGTATATGTATCTCTGGTACTTGGTAGAACGCCTGCAACAAAACTACCAGTCAACCGTACAGCAACTGCACGCTGCCTTTGTCAAACTGTGTGGCTTTGCGACTTAAGACAGCGAAGTTGAAGCACGCGTCGGCATTAAGATGGAGTGGGCGTATCATATGCGTGCATGATGTCCGTAAGAAATATGTTTTGCTATAACAGGCATTTTCATTGGCGCGTGCCGGCAAGATCGAGTAAGGAGATCACGCGACGAGGAGTTAATCATTGTGAATGTGTGCGGCACCTATACGTGACCGGGACATAATTGATTCGGGAGCTGCCGACAGTCACCCCGATGACAACCCCCTCGGAACGCACTGTTTGTCAGGTAGTGTCTACCCAGTCGTGTCACTCCCGCCGCACCGACCGACAACAAATCACCTTAATTATGTTCTCGTGCGTGAAATTCAAAAAAAAATGCTCGGGCTCTCGACTCTTGCGAGACCTTGGTTCTCGCACAGTCTCAACATACCTACAACGTGGATTTTTCACATATTCATGATACATCCGTTTTAATGCAATCTGTCAAGGATTCGACATTTTTAATGGGTATACCCGGAGGCTCTGCCTACATAGCCACTTGTGCTCAAAGATTAATGAAGTCCATTAGTGCAAGATACTGTTTGAACAAGGCTTGATCCTGAAACACCACCAATTGTTCTTGACAAGGAGAAAACGATGATAAATAACGCACGTTTGCAGGCATTCTTTGCATAGAAAGAAATGTCTTCAATTTTGTATTTCAAGTCTCAAGGACTTTTTTCCTGAGGCAAATTATCCTCAGAAGATTTTCTTGTCAGATAACAAAGGCAAACATTGCACCGAAAGCAGCGTATCAGTTTTGCGTATGATTACTGCATGGCAATGATGGATGATTTTTTTTTCCTTCTTTAATACGCGCACTTTAATACGACTTGTAACTCTTAAATACCACGTGTAACTCGTAACGTGGTGGTAAGGCTATTTAACAACGTGGTACGAGCGGGCATGCTGCCTACGTATAAAAGTTTAATCTTGGCATGGACTTACAATTTGTGGACATTGGAGTTATGAGACACACTGTCCAGTGTTTTTTTTTTCAAGATGTGTTAAAAAACGCGGCATTTCATCCTCCCAAAATGGTTGATTCGGGTAGAAAGAATGCAGAATCTGGGTTTAGCTTCGATCCACACACGGAAATTCAAAGGAGCCCTCATAATCGATAGGTTTCCTGTGCGAAGCATATTGCTTCTATTGTAAAGACTTTCTGACGCAAGCCTGTATATTTTGCGGTCTTATTTAATGCCAACGCAATGTACAAGACTTGCCCCAACGTTTGGAGAGTAGCGAAAAACATGCCTAGCATAGAATGAAACGTCCACACTCTCCACGCATTCCAGTAGATCTGATTATACAATGTAGATAAAAGAATCTGCCCCAGACGCCTCGAGTTTGCCCCCCAAATTGGATCAATCTGACAGAGTTATTGCGCCGCGATTGTTCAAATATTATCTCTGGCGAAACAGGTGTTCCTTTTGTTGGTTTTTCACTCCGATGGCCCTCTGCCGTCCACTCGTTACCTCTTGTTGGACTGTTGCCGTTGGTGATGTAGATTTTAAGATTGAACAAGTCCGGGTTTTTAATGCCAGCTTGACTGCTACTGCAGAGCGCAGAAATTCGATAAGCGCACAAACAATACCAGCGAAAACAGGTTATTGGGTAATGTGTAAATTGCACTGGCGACTGGCTCTCAGCCATTTTAGCTTAGATAACTACAGGTATTTACTGAGCAGCAATTTCGTGCCGGGCCAATCTCTGAAATCGGACCGCGTTGATTTGCACCGTTGTTTGAAAGCACACATACCTTTAGCGGTTGACGCCGCGCGGGTATTTGCCGTTGACATCACGCTTTCACCTTCTTCTCCGCGCAGAAGAGAAAACGAACGCGCATTTCACCAAGGCGCTGCGCTGCTTCGAACTGGCAAAGGTTGTAACACATTTTAAGCATCGGTGAATACAGGCGATTCACAAAAGAGCGCCTCCAGGAATTTTCAACGCATTGGCAAATCACAATGCGCGAAATCTGTCGACCCTTTCCAAACGGGCATTGGATTGACTGCAGGTTTCGCGCATTCTGATCGGCCAGTGCGTTGTAAACTCTGGGAGGCGCACTTTTGTGAATCGCCCGTATTTTGTGACGTGAGCAGGTACGCGCTTTTGCGTCAAGCGTGAACCGGCAATGATTCCGTTTGAGTACGCTCTGGCTGGTTGAGCATGAGATCCGTTGGGCTGATCTCAGAGCTGACAAGTTATACTAGTGAAATGGGAATTCATTTTCGCGTGCAGTTTCAGAAAGGAGAGCACGGCTTTTGGAGGGAAATATTGAACTTGAACGCAATAAAAGACTTAATGGTTTCCCCTCCCTTTCTTCTTCGGTGGACGGAATAAGCGTCTCGATTCTCTAGAGTTAAAATCCCTTCCCCTCCCGCGCTGAGTTATACCTTAGTTACAGATAGGGCAGTGATGACTCGTACAAGATTTAGTTATACTCTCACACCAATCCAACCACATATCGACTTTTCAACTAAGATTGTTTTGTACTTACACATGAACTCGCCGAGAACCCAGCCGGGAAAGTACAGCTCCAGCAGAGAAGGTGGCATGCAGACCAGCATGACCATCAGGTCGGCCAGACTAAGATTGACCAGGAAGTAATTGGTGGAGCTCCGCATGTCCACGTTGTTCCAGATGACGATGGCCACCAGGGCGTTGCCCGTCACCCCGAAGAAGGAGATGACCGCGTAGGCTACCGTAATCACCACCACCATGGCACTAGGCAGCTCCGACTGGAAACACATAGGCTCCTCTTCGGTGGGGCCCGCCGTGCCGTTATCGTCTAGGAAGCTGTAGCCTGTGAAGGTCTGATTACTACTGGTACTACTCGACGCCAGAGTGGTGTAGCCGGAGTGCATTTCTGAAGTCCAGGTCGAATTCTCCATGTTTGCTGTCTTGGTATGGGAGGTTATTCCCTATCGAAGCGGCGGTTTTGCTTCAGATGACCCACAACACAGAGAACTTGGAGTTGAGATTCAAAGTGTCGTGGTGAGAGAGCCGCGTAGCAGTCTTACGTCACTCCAAAACAACATCGAGGAAAGCGACAAATTCCAGTGCTAATGCCGTCTCACGTTGGAGCAATTGCTGTCAGATACCGTAGCGCTTTATTGTTATCTGCGGATGTGCCCATTTTCAGTTGTACCGTTTCAATGGTGGCCGAGCACACGCGGGACGCCTGCCGAGACACGAGCGCTCTCAGTACACAGCTGACGGTTAAGCTGGTTGTGTGCGTACGTTTTATACCAACACTCGTTTGTGGGCTGCGCTTCAGATGGACACGAAGCGCATCACTTGCGCATCACTGTCATCGGAGCAGATGGTGATCCGTGCCGACTGCTCATGCGCAGAGGGAAAGCGGGGGCGCTTTCCTCGTACTTGAAATGCGGAAAAATACTCTTTGAAAGAAACTATTCGTGTAAAGAGCGTGTATTGTTGGGATTTATTTTTCATGAATTGGCATGGTCTGCACCTTTTATTTAAATTATCTTGTTTCTTTTCTTAAAGCTTTGTGTTTCTTCTCATGTCTGCATTATGCTTGATCGTCTGGAGGAAGTTTTTTTCGAGTACTGTTTTCTGAAATGGATGAGGGACATCTTTTCTGAAGCATCCTTCCTTACGTTTGCCACAAATCAAAGGATGCACGACCCAAACTGTCCTCTAGACTTTTAGTGCCATAAGTATCTGAATTTTTCTGTCTGTATTTCGGCCAAGTTCGGCTGAGATGAAAGTCGTGTGAAGAGTGACAAGTTAGGCCCCGGGCAGCGTGCTGCCCGAACCGGTTTGTATGAGCTGTCACCGCTGACCTCCGCCCGCCCGCTGGGGCTCGCTGCTAATGGACGGCTCGTCATGAGTTATTAATGACCGTCAGTTAGCGGGAAATGCCAAACAGTTATGACAGATTGCCGATTCTCAGTCACAGCTTTCGAGGCATTCTATGGCCGGGTATCAAGTCAAGATCGGGGTTGGGGCCTCGTGCCGTCTTGAATCATTGTCCTTAGGCATCCTTATACGGTGAATTCGGTTACACATTAATGTCATCGGGAATACATATCTATTTACACACCTGTCGCTCGAAAAGAAACGCGTCATACGGAAGCCGTTGTGATCTATCTTTGCAGGTTATTGAAGGTAGATATTGATATGTTATAACAGTAAGAGAATTATTATATTGCACCGAGAGAATTGCATGGAATTACTTGGAATGATGCCATGCGCGTGCTAAGTCTTCTTCCCCGGTGAGTTTGAACGAACAGCTCCGTAGCCCGAGGGGGGCCAGACACTCCATTATTTGTGACAAAAATTGACTGCTCATCTTCGCAACCACGATTCATTTAACCGCAGAGGCATTGAATGACCCGTTTTTTTCCATATTTTGATCTGTTGCCCAAAAGGCCACGTGGCACCTCGGGTAACACGCTTGTCCCGACAGGTACAACGGTCTGTGGCCGTTTCCGTTAACTGGGGATCGTTCCGAAAATACTGTCTGGCACACATCCGTGTAAGCATCGTTTCAGTGTCTTGAATTTCCTCCAGAGCAAATAAAAGAGAAAAAAAGCATACCGGTTGCAGGCAGTGCCACCTGTCCCGTACTTTCAACCGATTGTCATCGGGTTTCTTGGGATCAATCTCATCCAATTCCGGGGATGAAATTACCGATGCCTCGCCATTTTCGATGAGGAGATTAAAAAGAATACACACATACAAAAATTGAAGTACCCTTTGGCAGATATTTGTTGTGGCACGAATATTCACCAGCGTGTTTTTGATAACGACGACGCACCGTCCGTCGTTTACCGTGTGTTTTGTCACAGACGCTCTCGCGGAAAAGCCATTGACTAGTTTCCAGCCGTTTTTTTTCTCCCCTTTTTGAAAACCGATGGGTGATCCCATATGCCACTCGGGAACGCATAGTCGGAGTTGCACCGAATCTGACTAATTTACCGATGACAAGGAGGCCAAGCAACCCATTTTAGTGAGTCCTGTACTTTCGCTGAGTTTTGACTCAATACCAAAATGTACACACTTTATAAGGCTGAATGTTTTTCTTTAGTTTGTGTTTGGGTAATCAAGTTCCAAGAAGTTGTGTATTTCACGGGCCTAGTTTGCTATTCCCTGAAATATTTCAATGCCCCTCTCGGTTTTGCTTTGAAATACTGGATGAATCAGTGGACGCCACCAGAAGAATTATTGCGTATCTTCGATCGAGGCAGATGAAAAATTACACCGTGATGTAATTTCGATGGGAAGAGTCGCGAGGTCAAGTGACTTTCCTGTTTTCAGGTCAAGAACTCTCTTGAGGAGTCGCCGCTTGTAGTGTTGACGCGAGGAAATTCAATACAAACAGAGTCGTGCAATCCGAAATTAAGAATTCAAATTGGGTCACGGTTTTGCATATTTGTCTACCTGCATTCCGCAGGGTCTAATTTTAACGCAAAAGTGAGAGAAATCACTCCATCTTGATAGATTTAAGCTATCGGAGAAATCACTGGCCAAATTTGAAACGAAAAAAAAAAATTGGGAGGATGCAGCTTTGGCTCATAGGGAGCGCCCTCGATATTAACCAGGTGCTAAATTCAGAGTGAAATTCCATGTATTAGTTCTTGTTTTGGGCCAGAGCAGAAAAAAAGAACATGTGCATCAATGGGGATGTCTTATAGGCCTAGCTCGAATAGCCACTGAACCGAGTTTCCTATAAATTGCCGAGGCTAGGGGATTCAGACGGCTGTAAGTTCCCGATCGAGGTTTGCGTATTTTTATCCGCAACGAACCCAAGTTTTTTATCGTTCGGAGAAATCTCCACTGGGATTTGGACCTATGGGGAAACTATTCATACCGTTCAAATCAGAAGGCACGACGTCTTCAAAAATCTGACGCCCCGGTCAAGATTTGTTTTCCGTACCGCTTTGATATGTATCACTCGTAATGACACGTCGAACGTGTTCATCGCTACATTTGATTGTCGTTCACCACCCCCTCCGGCTTTCCCTATCCCAGCCCACCCTGGCCCCCTCACGACACACGCCTACACGCACACACTTCTCGAGTACAAAACCCGGAGTGAAAAAGAAGTGTCGCCGGTTGAGAGTGTCAACAGAGCTGTTTGTTTACGACGCACAATAATGGACCGCGAACGCGAGTCGACGAAGACCGCGAATGTTTGCCGCCGCAGACGGATGGCCGCGCGTGCAATGGCGGCGCATCCGGGCACACCACGCTTGATGTTTGGCGAGGGCTCGTCTCACGTACGGCGAGCTAGCGGTAAGAGGGGCCATTTGAAGTGGTGATGAAGAGACCCTTCAATGATTGTAGGTTACAGTGTTCAGGTACTAAGTGAGAACAAATACCAAATGACGTATTCCAGCCCGTGGTGCGTAGAGAAAAAAATTATAACAAATCAGAAAACAAACCGAAAACTGATACCACTTGCATTCAGTGGCCGCGGCACACGATGCAAATATCTCCGCGCGCTTTTTTACTGGTTTTCCGCAATTACGTAATCCAGGATGGGGGAGGGTGTCAGGGGACATGGCCATCTTGTTGGGGCACTTGGGCTGACTGTAGCCGGATGGCACCGTGTTTGATTGCATGAATATTAACAAGTACACAATTGCTAAACTTAAAATGATTTTAATAGGCAACATCTTTTTAGGGCAGGTGGCACATAGGATCCAATGACTTGATAATATATTGTAAGAGGAACATCTTAAGTTTTCGCCCACGCCACTGCTTACCTCATTACATTTTTATGCAACTCTCTGAAGTAAGGGATATCAGAATAAATGTGAATTGAATTGAATTGAATTGACCCATGTATTTACGTTGCTGCATGTAGTGCGCATGCGCCGTACTGTGATGTCATCCTCGCCACTTTTTTGCGGTCATTTTGGAGTTCATGCACTGTCTGCGACTCAACCAAGTGTGCTCTCGACTCTGCTGTCCAGTCAAAGAACGACCATGCTCAGACTGACACCGCACTGAAAGTTCTCAAAATACGTTTTGAAAAATGTCCCATATTGCCGCCCCAAGCATTAAACAGTGGCGGTTTTGAAGCCGTGGTTTGGCGCCATCAACGGTCTCTTGAGGAGAGAGGCTTACTTTGGCTCGTACCAAAGACTGTCTCCAGTATTGTTGATGTGACAGCGGATCTTTGTGAAATATTTTACCCAGTACAGGGCAAGCAAACGGCAGGTTCATGCACGTGCAATAAGTGCGCAGGCGCCATGCGCACAGTAGCGGGTGTCGCCCAAGTAGGCGCTTTTAGTTCACAGTCCATACCCGAGACCTTGAATGATATCACGACACAAAAGCGGTCTATATTTTTGTCTGACTTGTTCTACAAGGTCTAATCCAGTTTTTACCAGAAGGGGGCGCCCTCATCAACGATGGAAGCGAGTGCGAGCGATTGAAACGGGGCCTTCAACCTCCGTTTTAAGACTTTCCCAACTGAATCACACTGACCCAGCGAGTTTTAGCGGGAAAACTAGGCTGTGGACGTGGGAGGGCTCCACGGAATTGGGACAAGAGAAAAAGTTGAACGCCCGGCCGGCAACATGTCCATTAGAAAAATGAAATTTGTTGTCAACCTACCGTGATCGTTAATGGCACCACGCAGGAGATGGTGTAAATCCTTCGCACGCGACGATCAAAAGAGTTTTTTTCCCACTTGTGTTGACATGTAGATAAGTTTTCACGTACATAAGTCGATTGCAATAGAAGAGACTGTTGCACATTTACGACCAAACAAACATCCATTGTCATCCCCCCCCCCAGGATCATCGCCCGGATCTGCACGGGTTTCGAAATGAAATTGCTCGCTACAAAATGCACAGCTTGTTGCGTTGAGACGTTTCAAAGTGGAAATGTGATGCATGAATATCTTGACCGTCGTCAAAAGAGCAGAGTATGTTACTTACCTGCAAGAAAACCCACACATTTTGATGGGATGTATTTGATGTATTTCAGCGAGTTGTGTGTTGTTTGTTTTTTATCTATGTGCACAGACGATTTCTGTTCAATGTCTCGAGAAAACAATTCCCCCTGCACGTACTCCGTCATACCCCTGCCCCGATGGTTTCCGCGCTGTATTATAGCAACACCCCTCCCTCCTTTCAACGACTCCCGTCGTGGTTCCATTGCCATGGAATACGACCCACCGGCCCCGCACAACCCCATCAGCGCGCGGTGTGAGCGACACGCGTCGCCGAAGGAAAGGAACTCCCAATCTCAGAAGCGGAGGGGCTAACACCTGATGTGTCACCGCCCTGGATTATTGCTCAGTATCCATCGCAAAGCCGGCAGTGACTTAGACTGATGACCCAAAAGGGTGTTGAAAAGACGGATTCCAGCCATCTCAGCCTGCCCTTTGAGGATGCATATCACACTTCACGAGAGGAAGTGATGATTCATTGGTTAAAGAAGAGTGGGCACTGGTGATATCAATGCCAAAGATTTCTCAACAAATCGTCTTTTTAATCAGACGTACATGACTTTGTACATGAATGTCTCTAAAACACACATACATGTGCATCAGGCCCATACATTTGTTTTCTTTTTTTCTTGTTTTTTCTTTTTTCTTTTTTTAGTGAGTAAAAATTAGCGCGTAAAATGCAGTTTTCAAATCGCTCCCATGTGAGCCAGAATATCTTCCTTTGGTTGATATTTCAACCAAAATGCCTTTTATTCAATTTGCGACTCGTATAGAGTGTGCCTTGTAGATTCCTCCTTTTTGGGTAACTTCCAAAAATCTATTTCGTGAAATTTTTTTAGGGTACCGTTTCAGTATCCAACAAATACTAGGATTTTTGGGGGAGATATGTCCTCTCTTTCTGGTATCCCACAAGGCTGTATAAACGCATTCGTACATTGCAAACTGTGGACATTTCCACTGACCACACACAAAAGCATACAGTCTGAAATATTACACGAATGATCGTTACTGCATGCAACATGATATGTCCGGCTTCGACTTTTACACTTGTATGTAATCGTTTATCCAAGTCTGTCACTGCGCCGTAGCAGTTTGAAGGAATCTGACCCCTTTTATTTAGCTCGTCTGACAAATCTGGTGTAGTCATTGCACGAGAATGTGGGGGATCGAGTTTTTGCGTTTTTCAATTTTTAGGCGCGCTGAACGAAAGATATGAAACTTCTCCGGCGAAAATTTGAAAAACACTTCGCAGCCTCTCGTCATTTTCGTTCCACTGGCAAGCCGACCTGTTGGCATTTACCCCAAAGTGACCTCCAAGCTTCATGAAATTCTGCCTTAAGCTCCTTCAAAAAGACAATCTTAGAGATCGAATGCCAGTGTCTCGTCTGGCGATCGAACAGGAAATCGTCATGCTCACTGATCCAGAACATGGCCTATCAAGTTCACGCCGTTAACCTTGAGGTAATATGAAACTACCATCTCATGCCTCGTGGCAAAATCCATTAGTTTCTGAATGAGATGTGCTGAACGACGGACGGAACCGAAAGATGTCGCATTGTTTCCCGAGGAAGAGCCGATAAGCGTTCATGAAGATTGTGACTCGGAGAGCACCCAAATCGGTCCCCAACACAGTTTGCAGCTATGGGTGTGTTCGCGCGGTTACTGCTGTAAACATGAGTAGGATGCGTGTGCCTTACACTCGCGTGCAGGAGTATACTACGGAAGCGTACATAGGACAAAACTGAAAAAAATGGGCCTGCTATTTCGCCCCGGCGAAATACTAATCTGCCCAGGTGAAATATTAATCCGCCTGGGCGAAATAGCATGCCCATTTTTTTCAGTCATGTCCTATATATGCTTACGTAGTATACTCCCCCCCCCCCGTTTATAGCGAGAGTTTACTATTGCTGACCCGCGGGTGGTCGTACTCCAGCCGTTCGAACGCTCAAGAGTATACTCGTGTTAACACGAGTACTTAGTTCGAACGCACCCTTTATGTTCATTCCTCGTCCACCAGCGGGGAGTAGGTATGACAAGGGCCTGAGATGTTTACTGAGAGAGTTGCGATATGAGTGTTTCAATGGTTGGAGCCAAAATGGTGGATTTTGCGTCGGTGCACGCATTACCGACAGCCATTTTTGTTCCAAAGTCTGCGCTATACTCGGTATAAACAGCCCTGGCAGGGGCTGATTTCCCCGGGGACATGTTGCCAAATGTTTTGAAGGAATTTAATCCGCCATCTCTTCAGAAGTGGCACTGTTCGCCTTTCTTTGGAGGAGATGGGTTGGGGTGAGGATTTCATTAAGGACAATCGTTTGTAGAAAAAGAATCCGTTTAGCTTCTACCTGGACTCAAAACAGGGATACTCCCCCTTTACTCTATTGCACAAGATGCACAAGTCAGAGAGGCTGTTATGCCTCACGTTACGTCCAGGTATGATCACAGCGCGTGTTCTCCCCGCACACGGCGTGTTCAAGTGGCAGTGTGCGTCGATGTACTTCGCTTCACGGGGCAGGCCAAGCGCGCTCGATATCGTTGCCATTAAATGATTTATTCTGAACTCGGCTAAAAGGTTTCGAATTTACCTTGCACTCAGCAAAATTAAGCTTAAATGCATGGGCTAGCCGCTGGATTGTTCCCAGGATCCCTGATTTATTTCCAAGATGTCGCTTGCTGTAAACTGCAGTCGTCACGTTTACCTCTCTGTTTGCTGACGGTCAGTTTTATCCTTTTCTTCCCGTTTGTCCCATTTACGCCTGCTGCCGAGGCTTTGCGGAGGACTACGCAACCTGACTTGTAAAAAGTGTCGCTGCAATTCCAGCAATGGCTGTTAGCGGTTCCTGTTATGCTAAGCATGTTGTAATTCTACCGAGGGTATACTTAGTTTTGTTTCACGTGGGACATTCTCGGTTTTTTGTACGGGGCACAGTCTTGGTGCAAAGTGATTGAGACTAGCGGGCTTCAAACCTGTAATTCTGATGGTGGTGTTTCTGAAGCAAACCCACCAACGGACAAAAGATAAAATATTTGTTGGCAGATCATTCAGACCAACAACATGTCAGACGCATTTTGATTTGTTCACTGAACTTCGTTGGTAAAAATAAAACTTCTTGGACAGCTAAACCAGTTTCTTGTTTTCACTTTTTAAAGCGAGGCTCCAGGTCTACAGTTCAGCGAAATCCTTCCAAAAATAACTTCTCCAAGGTCCTGGCTGGCAATAAACCAACGACTAAGACAAACAAATCAGGGGCAGACAGGACCAGGACCCCCAGGAGTGATTTGTGAGCTCAAGATGGAAAGAAAAGTCCAGAGTTCGCCGGAGATAAAGCCCGTCTACCTCATACTTGGCATCACGTGTTTCGTACCAACCAATCAGACAAATGTAAAGTAAAAGCATCGAGGGAACGTTGTCAGATTTTTTAATATAAACTGGTGGTTGGTAAATGTGTAACAAATCTGTCTATTAATCGTTGAACGATAAAACAGTGTTCAAGTGCACAAGACGTAGAATATTCGTTTTAAGAACAAACTCGTTTCTGTTTTACCGAATCATCTGTTTGATGCGGTGAGTAGCTCGCTGTTTTTGGAGACTTCGTCATTAAAAACGTATAAATTGTTATATTTCATATTAGGATTAAGAACGACTTATGACTTCAAGTAGTTTATATTGTGCATCAGCTGAGTAACTGTATCTTTTGTACAGAATTCTAAGGCACAGTGTTTGCTTGTTAATGTGTTAAGTATCTGACAGAGTTAAATATCTGACAGTGTTAAATATCTGACAGTGTTAAATATCTGACAGTGTCAAATATCTGACAGGAATACTCATGACAAATTGTACTAACAGTTATGAAAAAAAACTTGTTCTATACAGTCATCTATGTAACTTTAAATGCGCAACGCTACTAGGACCAAAACCTTGGAACACAACCATTCACGAAATGAGAAATCAGTGCGTGGAATAATTATTTCGTGGTTTGCTCCTTCCTAAATTACAAATTGCTTTGGACACGAGGGTATCGTTTGTACATCACACAACATTCTCGCAAATTGAATTAACTTCTGCATGTACAAAAATCTGTGCGAGTTTTTTTTTTTTTACGTTTGAGTTTGGAGATGTAATGGGCCCGATTGTTGGTACAACTTATCGCTAAGTAAATTCAAACGGTAGAGCAAAAAATCAAACGGGAAATATCACAGGCAATATACGCTGACCGACATTTTGTCTGGTACCCTGGCGTCCCCAAACAATATTGTCCTGGCTTCGCTTCACAAATCTATGCTAAACAATACTATGATTTTGCCCAGCCAGACAGGATTTGTATTGACGTTTTTAAAAGCCCAATTAGATAATAGTCACTGCAACGTCAAAGATGCATGGTCAAGGGTTCAATCTTGTTCAGTTATTGATAGATTAAGTAGTGCATTCTTCAAGTGCACAAGTGTAGGTAATTTGTCCGGCGTCGAAGCCGGCGTGAACAGCCCAAAAGTCCAAAACTCACAATGCTAACCCTTCAAGAGTTGATGGCATGGCGACCGCTCTCCACTCCGCTCTTTCGCTGGTCGCCCATTTATAATATTTTGTTGAACGTTGTGTCTTTTTTTCCCCAGATACCACCAGACATGGCTGGTTTGTTTGTCTACCTGCTGGCGGTCGGTGTGATTTGCAGCGGCCCAAGCGCTCAGGAAGTCATCGATCAGCCAACCGATCGGGAGGGCATGCCAGAGGGTCAGTGATGCACGCGCTTGCAGCCGTCGACCAATTTGAAAGGCGTTTATTTGTAACCCTGGCAAATTTACAGCCATTTATAAATGATAGCTATCAACCGACAACTTACACTAGACCGTTCCAACTAAGACATTATTAACGCAGTACCGGTATACCACATGGGTATTTAAACACAACGTATGTCGAGCTTTAGCTTTATGGGAATTTTAGAAAAGAAGAAAGTGTTGTTATTAATCATGGTCCCTGCAGTCGATGATATTGAGGAATAAAGAAGCGTTGAACAAGATATGGAAGAAAACTGAAAAACAATGTGGATTTTTTTCAGACCCATTTTTGAGAACTGACGTGGTCAGCCTTGTATCCGATGTACCTTAATTAACCTGCCGTAAAATGTTTCATGGGTGTACACCCACAAAGACGTTAAATGTGTATAATTCATTCTATTTTGAATATATACCCATAAGAAATGCCCACCTCAACCTTATTCCCTGACAGTGGCTCCCTTCTTCAACCATGTTCCTCTTGTAATCATGCCCACTTTAAGCCGTGCTCGGATATTCGCCACCTTTAACACCTTCTGATCGGTGTCCGCAGGTGCCGACCGTGCCTGCGGTGCTAGCCAGTACACCGTCCTACCCGACGATCCCAGGCGCAGCGTCGGCTTCTCCGCCATTCGGCTGGACCTTAGCCGGCTTATTAGCGACCATGCCCTGACAGGAGGCTGGTACCGGTTTAGCGACGTACCGGGTAAATGGATTTAGAGTATAATAGGAACATGAAATGGGAGTAACCATGTCTAATCATCTAAAATCAGTGAAAACTTGGATCTGTAAGTAATGTGTTACTGTGAGTTGCTTCAAAACTTCCAGTGAAAAAAAAATAGATACTGAATTCTGTTCTTTTGAGCACCGTGTTTCAACAGTGAATGCCATGCATACTGACTTGCAGTTTCCGATCAAGCTTGTTGTATGTAGCTATGTTCCGAATATCAGCCGGTTCCAGAACCGGATATACCGCTCTGAAACCAACCACACGGTTCTGGAACCAGTTCAGTGTCTGTGAATTTGTGTTTCCGGTTCCACTAAATTCTTCCAACGTGGAGTAAAGTCATTTCACTTTTGCGAGATACATGCGGGGCATCATTAGCATTCTGAGCAGTATGGATTGAACCACCAGACAGGGTCTTTGTTCAAGGCGCCTTGCTCATTTTGTTTAGCTCTGTATCATTTGGTGGCTGACGTGGCTATATGGGCCACATTTTGCGCTAATACCGAAAAGGTAAATGTTTAGAAACCTGATTGTGATGTGAGCTCAAATTCTATGTGGGGGGAGGGATCGGGTGACTTAACCATTTGAAATTTTCCGTGGTGGACAGAGCCTTGTAAATTTTATTCACAAATGTTCTGACGTTATGTGCCGATGCATTCCAACAATTGAACTCCGAATCGGTGCTAATCAGTTTGCCATGGTTTGGTAACTGTAGTCAAATAAATGAAACTTTTCTGTTTATCCAATCCGCTTCAAAAAACAAGGTACAAGGATGCCGACAGAGTGCGTGCCCATGGGGCAATGCGGGACCCGCTACCCGATGTGGATGTCCGGCCGTCTGCCTGCCGATGGGAAGATAGCCGTGGTGGAGGGCTGCATTAACACTGGTCAGTCCGTAAAGTATCTTGAATGATCCTTGTCGAAGAAAAATCAAAGTCGTATTTAAGGCAAAGGAATCCTCTTCAGCTGTGTCCGATTTGTGCACTCACCTTTTTTGACTAGTAAACGCGATTTCGAACCTAAGACGGATCACCATCTGAGGACATATATTTTTATCCCCTGTTGTCCGTGTCCCCGTTTTCCTTACAGACACGTTCCCCGAGGATGTATATAACGCTAGACTTTCTATTGCACATCTTCTTTTGGGCTTGTAATCGAAGACTCGTCTTTTAACAGCTTTGAGCAGTCCATGTCCTCCGAAAAAATGAATGGTTAATTAATCCTAGTTATGTGCCACAATGTCAACAATCATTTACCAGCACATACGTCATACGTCCAGCTCCAATACAATCAGGCCTTCGATTTCATGTTTATCTGTACTGTAGATTAAGCCGAGGCAAAATGCAGCGGGGTTTTTTTTGTCAACTAATGCTCAGTGATTGAGTGACCTCGCGGTAAAAAAAAAAAATTATTAAAGAGAACGAAGGGGTGAAAAGGTGATTTGTTTCAAACAAAAAAAGCAAACCTTTCTGATCATGAGTGACTGATTAGTAATATCTGTAGACGTATGCCGGGCAAGAATGTCCACTGAGCCTAATTATTATTCATAGATGCATTTTTTTTTCTGGAAATCTTATAGTATTTCAAGTCTGGCCTTGTCATGAGCGGCCGGGCCAGTGTCTTTCAATTCAATTTATGCCTTCCTAGACCTTCATCTTAAAATTCCAGCTGCAAAAGGAATTGGTAAAAGTACATGAAGTGTCTCTAGGTGAAAAAACAATAATATTTTAAACGTTTTCTATTTGGAGTAAAATGGTACACAAAATAAGGTCAGTTCTTGGAACTTTCAGTATGTTTGCCTGTTTGGAGTTTCTGCCGATTCATCCACCGGGCGGGATGGGATTGGTTGGGGCGGGACGGGACAAAAGGAAAACGGAGCGCAGTGGGCACGATCGTACCTGTCATATTCAAAATCATGGGGTTTTTTCCACCTGTTCTATGCCCACACTTTCCTTGACGTTCTTAATATAATATAATCCTCTGTCCGAGAGGGATGAATGCCACTGCATAATGCAGTGATATTCATGCAACGATTGATAGAAATTTTCTGGGGGGGATCACGTTGATGACACCAAAAACATGTACCTTAGGAAGTCAATGAATAAACTGTTAGTTACGACGACTTTGCACTCATTTGATTGAGTTTGGTAACCGATTACTTTCTTTTTTGTTGCAGAGGACGACGGGTGTTGCAACGAGAAATTCAAAATAGTCGTCCGCAACTGCGGTGATTACTACGTGTACCACCTGCCTGCGCTCCCTCGCTGTGTTCGGCCAGCGGCATACTGCACAGGTACGGTAAACATTCCACAGGTTCCGCGATGGGTTGCTGGAGATTTAACCCCCCCCCCAAAAAAAATCCTCCCCTTCCCAAGAAGAAGTGGGAGGGAACAAAGAAATGTCCATAGCATCATCATTATGTGAGTGTGAGTTGAATGTAAATGCAGGCATGGAACGGGGCCATATGTCCAACGTTTGTACGAGCAGTGTCTCCACAGCGTCAAAATTGACGGTCTTCTCGTGCTACTTCGTTCCAACCGGCCCTATCCGCCTCGAGCAAAAACACCCCCTCAACGGTGGAATAGAGCCAGGTTGGCCTGGAGGATTCATTTTGTTGGTAGCGATGCGACCGTAACGCGCGCGTTTCGTGAACCAGCGTTCGTGAACCATGCAGCGAAGTTCAGTTTGGACCGAAAATTGCGTCCTCTCCGTCCAGCTCAGGGCTCATACCCTTCAGCTTTCTGAATTAAAAAAAATTGCTTGATAAAGTAAAAGTGCGGAACTTCTAGGCCCATGTCTTGTTTTCCTTGAGCTAGGTATTCTCCTCGATAAAGGGTGCCGAAACATTGGAAATCCTGATCTTTGGCGTCTAACTCATAGCTACAGGAAATTTTATAATCATTGAGTTGACCTTTGATATGTTGACACATCCATTTTAACCTCATCTTTTACAACGATGCTAACTGCAATTCAGTGTTCTGTTCCCCCTGTCTTCCCTTTTGGCCCCTTCTTCTAAATCTCTTGTTTATGAACACAGAGAGAGGTCAGTGGATGATGGTTTTCAAGGCAGTCAGTGGAGTGCAACCGGATCCGTACGCGCTGTGGATGAGCCGAGAGTCGCTGAACGAGAACGTCCCCGAGGCCGCCCGGATCGGGAGTGGGTTCCGGGGTCACTTCAAGAGCCAGCTGGTGCAGGAGTGGAACTCAATGAATGCTGCTGAGGTATGCTCGACTACAGGGGGTTATTCATGAACCTTTGATGTGAGATTTTCGTCCACCACACCCCCCCCCAGTATCTATGCAGTGAACGCAGTGTGATGTTTCTGATACCGATGGCTGGTTTGGTATTCGTGCTGGTTACCATTGCGTAGCGGCGTGCGTGGGTTAAATTTTGTTGGGGTGGGGTGCAACTGCCTGCGCCACCGGAAGCAAACCACGCCCGCTGCATCCCTCACTAGTACTAAATTTAGACGTCAAGGTGGAAGGTGAAGCTATCCCCCTTGAGCAGAAGCCCCCTCCATCGGTTTGAAAGAGCCACGCTGGTCGGGAGTGTTCATTTTGCTCGGAGCGGCGCGACTGTAGTCGTTCAACGAAGCCGTTGTACGGACAATTGCGCCCTCTGTCAGTCAAGCTTGGGAAAACAGTCAAAAGATGTCTTTATATAAGAACTACTAATTTTTCATTTGGTTTGTTCCCGGAATTTTTCTTTCAAGGTTCGCCTGTCTCTGTACGAGGCAGGAGCAGAGGTTTTACGGGTTGTCTTTGACGGATCCGGCATCGACAAGACGTCGTGGTTCAACTTGGACAGGATCGTCTCCAGCCCCTATCGGGACCTCGGCGTTGATAAGAGCGACCTCCCAGATATCCAAATCATGTAAGTAAAACGAGACAGAATATTCAAGACATAGAGTTTTATGTTTCGTGTTTCAATAAGTGTTATTATCATACTACATGTAATATGCAAAGTTCTTTAATTATCAAACAAGCAGTGATTTCGATATGATTTTAAATACAACCTAGGGGGTTAGGGGTTTTAGAGTCAATTAACTTCCAGCGCTTTCAAAAATCTTGTGACAAAAAAGCCGCACGTGCACCGGTAGGATTCCATCCAACAATCTCCTCCGTTCGCATGCGAACGTCTTACCACTCGGCCACCGTCCATGTTGGGTCTTTGAGGAAGGACACAGGAGTTACACCTCTAGCTCCTCAAAGTGCTCGATGAGCATCGCTGTCCAGTCAGACAAACAATAGTAAACATTCCAAAAATGCCCTCTTACTGCCTGCAGCTTAGCCGGATAAGTGGAGCCAGCCAGTATATCCTAGCAATATTTGGTGTGCAATTTGTTTGCAATTAACTACAACTTATCGCAGTGACTAGGAAATAGAAATCTCTAGCATTAGACCAACTTTTGCCATCGTGAATATACTTTTCTATTTTGATACCCTGTTACATTACCTATGCAATGTTTGTAATTTTATTTTTGTCTCTCCAAAACATCAGTTTTCAAAGTTTTTGTACGAGTGCGGCTAAGACTGGCCAACAACATGTTCACCACCACTGGACAGTTAAGTAAATAACAAACAAATGCGCTGTTTTATCACAAGAAGTGATCATCAGATCTCATAAAAGATCTTTTTGTATTTAAATACCCTTATAAAAATGATTCAAATAAAACACGATATCTTTTAAACAATTTGGCTATCTATTCCCAAAATAACTCCAAAAGAAAGCGTTCGGAAGGACAATGACTGCACATGAACAACTGTGCAAGCATTAAATTTGATGTTGTTGTCAGATCATACCAAGCACCAATAATGGCATGAATATTCAACGTCTTATACTGCAGTACACAATGTTTTAGGAATGCAGGTTGCCAGCGAAAAATTGCGGTGATGATCCTGGGGTACAGGGGGGGGGGGCTTATGGTCGTGAAACAGGTGGTACCGGTACGTAGCAAGCATTCGCTGCGCTCTGGCTATGGACGTACCGGGCATGCCAGAAAGCGATAATTGGCCAGATGTTACCTAGCCCGGGCAGTTCAAACTCCTTCTGTGTCCTTCCACCATGGTCAAACTGATAACATTTCGACAAGATATTCCTTCTTCCTTCCTTCTAAGCTTCAACTCTTGAGATATTCCTCGACTCATTGGTCAGAAGACAAAATTATCATATGCAATCAATCAATCAATGAGTTGGGTTCTGGTCCTGGTGACAACTAGCTCTTGTCTTGTCATACTGACAATCGTACTGACTCTACGCTCAGACGGTTGAGCCGTTGCGATGCCTACTGTCGTGTGCATTTTATATACCGAGACAATTTACTCAACTTTTGTACATCATCATGTATATCCACCCACGTGCAAGTACAACCTCTACCGCAGAGCTTATTGCCAACCACATCCATGAGCTGGATTTGAAAGCCCCGGACGCTCCGAAATCTATATTGGGAGATTTCATAATTGTGCGTTGGATAGGACACTGAACAACTACCACCAATTCGTTACGTAGGCCCTACCCTACCAGTCTGACTAAAACTCTTGATTTGTGCTGAGGCTGTATTCCCTCTGCATAATCCATCCCTCTACGAGCCCTTGGATCAGCGGATCACAACAGTGTACTTCTAACTCCAGTTTATGAACCCATGTTCCGGCGATGTACCCGAGGGGTAAAATCCGTGAGGCACTGGACTCTGGATAGCATTCTTTCTTCACAGGGTGCTTTGAACATAGAGGAAGGACACAGGTGGAGTTTTAACTGCCTAGGCTATAACATCTGGCCAATTACCGCTTTCTGGCATGTCCAGTATATCCATAGGAAGAGCGCAGCGAACGCCTGCCACGTACCATTTGTTTCACAACCACGAAACCCCTTTGTACCATATGATCGCCGCCGTAATTTTTCGCTGGTAATCTGCATCCTTAAAACTTTGTGTACTGAGGTATAGGAAATTGAATATTGATGCATTTGTTGGTGCTTGGTATGATCTCATAACAACATCTAAATGCTTGCGCAATACTTTGTATTACGCCGTGTGCCCTAAATGTACATGTACATGTGCAGTCATTGCCCTTAATGAACATTTTTTCCTGGACTTATTTTGGGAATAAATTGCCCCCTTGTTGACAAGATTTTGTGTTTCGTTTGAATCATTTTTATTATGGCATTTGCATAAAAGTGTATTTTATGAGATTTCGTGATCACTACCTGTGATGAAATACCCCAGTTTGTTTCTTATGAACTTAGCTTTCCAGCAGTAGTCAACATTTCATTAGCCAGTCCTAGCCAAATTCGTTATCAAGTCATGAAAACTGATGTACTAGAGGGAGGAGAATAAATTACAAACTTTGCACGGATAACTGTGAATCAAAATTAAAAAAGAGTTATTCACAATTGAAAAAGTAGGTCTAATATCAGGGATTGTTGTTTCTTTGTTTCCTGGACACAACAATAATTTGTATTTACTAATTACCGAAAATGGGTCACTTGGGAGACATTCCCATAAGAACGTGCACAAACTTTACTGTCCCATAATTAAATATTCCCTAATTTGATCTGAGCCAAACTTTTTATGCTTTCAATGTAGACCCTAATCTGTCATCTCTCAAAATTTGGACACTAAAATTCGGCCTTCTTCTGGTAGATGGGGTATTAAAGAGACATTGAAATGTCTGCCTAATGACCGATGTCTCCCTAAGGTCGAAAAATTTACCATAACATGTCTCCTCAATGACCCATTTGTAAGAATAATTGCAAGCAAAACACACAAGTATTACTAGGATATTACTGGCCTCGCTTGTCTGGCTAGGGTGCAGGCAGTAATTGGGGCATTTTTTGCGTGCACTTTTCCTTCATTAGAGCGAATGGTAAAATATTTGACTACATATTTGTGACCCACTCTGTCGCAAGAGCCACTTTGGAGTAAAAAGTCCCTTAGAATAATTTTGCACAGTGTAAGTCAATAGGAACCACAGTATTTTTAATCATGGAGTATCCACTTTTATCAGGATGCCAAACTGAGTGATACATCAAAACCAAAAACTCAATTTGCTCTTTCCAATACAAATGAAAACTCAAAAAGTGGTTCTGGCGACTTAAGACTCATTTTAACAGAGTGGGTCACAATAAGGTGGTGCCAGACTAATTCGGGCTCCAAACCTTACTTTCGTGGTTTTTTTATTTATTATTTTTTTACATTAAGATAATTTATCACAAATTTCAAATCATTCTCCAGAAACTGGCATATGAATTTGCGTAAACCTCTAATTTGTCGCTGATATTTTTCGCTCGGAGGTTTCCAAAATGAAAAACGTTTTCCTGCACTTTCAATTCAAGATGGCCGAAATGATTTATGAATCCAGTCTATTTCGGTTTGGTCAGGACCACGAGCCAGAATTACCGCTTTGTGATGAGTCGCAGTGCTCGGTCGGACTGCCAGAATGCCAACGGTTGGCTGCTTGTGGTGGCCTCAGCAGGAGAGTGCAACTGGGATAGGACCGGGGACTTCCCGGTCTTCAAGTACAGTCGCAGTGGCTCGGCTACCCTGTGGGACAGCGAAAACGGTAAACACGAGAGATACCCGTTGACGCTTGCTGTTCCCCTGTGTTGCTTTGCTCCTTGACCTGTTTTACATTCCCAGTGGCCCGGGGGAGGAGTGCACGCGGCGGTCCAGTTGAGGCCTGTAAATTGATTTATATCGTTCGTTCAGTTTTTGATAATTTCAATGCGTATTGCGATAAGTTAGAAAACCCATGTGCTGCAAAAATATGGTGGTGAAGAATTTGACCAGTTTTGAACACACTCAACAGACCATTCCATAGACACTGAGAACGCTTGGTGGCAGCAAACTCATTGTCGTTTGCTCGAGACCTCAGATCTCAACTACTGCTACAGCATCATCACTTGGGGTAATGAGCTCGGTGTAATGGAATGCAAAATAAAGTGATGATGACTTGGACCGAATCCATGCCCAAGGACAATAACTGTGGACTCGATTATGCATAAGTCAACATCGGTACCTCAGAACCCACCTACGTTTTACCGTCTAAACCGTCCAATGACGGCGCTGTTCAGATAAGCACTCTGTATGTCCTGGGTGATAGGCATGACGAGGCTGCTCATGTAAAACCAAGATATTATCTCAAAGCCTGTGTACCCAAAATAAAGAAGTCTCTCGGCAAGCGGCCTTCGTTGGAGGATTTTTGGTATCTTTTGTTTTTTTGTTTCAGATCAAGTTGGTGAGGCAGACGAGCTTGTCATTTATATGAGAACAGAAGGTAAAATTCGTTGTATCGTGACTTTTTTCCCGAAAACTATATATTTGTCCGTGAATATGAATTCATTTTTCATATGGAGATGCATATAGCTTCACTTAGTACGTAGAATTTCAAACCTTATATCCTTTAACGACTTTCACTACCGTAATCCGTAATGCATTTCATAGCTGAGTAAAATCCATATTGGCTTGTAAGGGCCCGTGATGGGGAGTGACGGCGGTAAGGGTTGGGGTCAGGGGGGATCGATTGGAGACTATTGACACTGTCACTGGTACCCGTCAGCTACCCCCATTGTTTTTCGTTGATCCATTTTTTTTCTTTGGCTTATATCAGACGATGATTAGCTGGAAAGTATGCCTGAAGGTTTTTCCCTCAATGAAATCTGAATTTGAGCCCGAATAGGACGTAAGAAGGTATGGTTGACCCCTCATATCGATTCTGATTAAAATGGCCGAAAGTCACCGGGATCGTTGAAAAACGTCTTAATCATCTCGTCCTGAAATCTGTTGTTCTATCTTTTCTGAAACCAGTACAAAATCTTACGCTGATGTATATTGTACTACTTCTGTCCACATTGATGGCATGGGAGTACCAATGAGCATTTTCATATTTACTTGGCCGGCAAACTTGGGGCACGATCCTGTAAACCCATCCCCCGTGTCCAGAAAACTGGGATGATGTCCCCTATTTCCCGCCCCAAGATTAACACCAATGGTATTTTGTCAATTCCAGAGGAGCCAGTCTGTAAAGAGAGGAGTTACCAGGTCTTGAGAGAACAGGCAAGAGGGCCCGGAGGACTCAACATCCTGAACAACGTGGACGATTCGAGGCTCCAACCAGGGTGGTACCGCTTCACAAGCCCGACAGGTTAGAAGACGTTTCACCTACTTGCCTCTGTCTTAAACTAAAGTATTTCTTGGGATGCCAAATTTGAAGCCCCAACGTGCAGATGGCTTTTTTTCTCTTTAAAGAAATCATCCCATGAGGGTTATATTTTTTCTTTACCAAAGTCAGGAGCAGCGCCCCCCTAGAGTTATGGTATTGCAAGGGTTTGGAACGAAATGAGAAGAAGAGCATGATAGCACGCCCAAAATACTCGGGAATGGTTGAAAACGTAGTTTCATGCTCATTGGAGCCGTCTGCAGCAAATTTCCGATAAGCACAATGTGTTCGGACACGGCTACCATTCTAGCCCCACAGATAACGGGTGGATCGGCTAGGTGTTGCAACTTCCACATTTTGCATGCGTAAATTGGACAAGGTCTGAGTAACCACGGATGGGGCTTAAGTCTCCTTTCCATGTTCACGTTTTTGTGAGTACGTTGTGTGAACGATGCATTGATGCGTTTGCATGAAACGCATGCAAATTAACCATTTTATTTGAAAATAGATAAGTGATAAGCGACGTTTGGACTATATATCCTTTCTCTTCTTGTCCGAAGCGTTGTAAAAGCCCAAAATTTATCCTCACCCAAAAGAAAAGAAAAGAAAAGCTATGATATCTTTTCTAAAGAATTTATCATTTCTTGCTCTGAAAAAAATTGGTCCCCACGAAAATTTGGTCATCATCCGGCCTTCTTTATATACGATGCATGTGTGTGGTCAGTTTTGCTTCAAGTGAAACTGTAGCCGAATCGTGTAAATTATTTTGTAATAATAAGTACAGGTATTTGGCTTTCGAGTCTTTCGAATTTAGCTCGTTATTTACCCGTTTCGATCGCCGATCGCTTTGCTTTTATCAAGGCGAGGAATTATCTCACTATTGTCGGGAGCTCAATTCCTGTGGGGCTCAGTACTCGATCTGGCTCCTGGACGCCCCGAGAACAGAACCAGGAGAAACAGTCAAGGGCACCATGTGCATCAACAAAGGTGTGTTTATGCATAATTGTGTATTCCTTGAATTGTATGAAAACATTTTAGTGTAGGCTGTCGTCACTGGCACGAGTTTCAGAAAAGAGTCAGCAACTTAAACCTTTTTCTCGAAAAGGTAAGAATCTTTTTGCATTTCCGGTTGATAGTAGCAATTATTTCGTGGTTTTTATAATTTTAAAACTAAGTTGACAGTTTTGCTAGTGAGGCCGTCCATAGACAACCACAGCTGTGGTATACCCAAAGAAAAAGTCCGTAATCAGTGATAGTCTAAACACGGCAGTGGAAGCAGATGGAGCTCTTGTTTCAAGTAATAACAAAGTCATTTTTCTCTCCTTGTCTTAACCTGTTTCTTGTTACAGACGAGCCCGGTTGCTGCAACGAGCAGATCAAGGTGCTGATCCGTAACTGCGGTAGTTTTTTCATCTACCGTCTTCCGCAGCTGAAAAGCATGGGGTGGCGGACCGCAGGTTACTGCACCGGTAGGCACTCACACCAGAATGGGTTTGACGAACTAGCGTCTGGTTGCAGACTACAGCGTTTGCCTGCAAGACTGGGGTCGCCAGACGGTGGTCACAATAGACCTTTCTTCGAAGTTTGGTTTGCAAGCATTCAATTAGCAATGGGCAGCAAACAAGTTCGCTGGAAACTGCTTTTGTCTCGAAATGTAATTTTTCTCCATTCGGGATAGGGAAGCACGTATTTTAGACGTCTTCGACAGTCATTGGCGGATCCAGAGAGGCATTATGAAACGTAACGAGAGAAACTGATTTCTGGAAAATTTCTTTTCCTTATTCTTCCCAAAGCGTGTAATTGAACCGAATTACAAGTGCAATGAAAAGTTATAAGAAAGAAAATAATTCAGAATATCTTCCCCACCCCCATCGCAGAAAATTGCCCCCAAAACATGGGTCTGGATCTGCCCTCGATATTATCATACTTAACATAATTTTGTTGTTTTGTAGTGGCGGCCAGCCACAGTTAGCGAGGCAAAAACTATGACTGTGATTCGATTCGATGTTCACAAAGGAGAACAAAAATGGCGAGCGGTCGCCGCTGCGCTGCCGACGTCGCCGTTTTGAAGAAACAAGATTAGGCCTACGCATAATCCCCGACGGACAAAATCCTCATGAATTGTTTTCGCCAAAACAAGTTTGGGCCAGATACAGATTTGAACCCGAAACAATAATCCCTCTTCGTTGATTTTGTTCAAATTAAAGGGGCCTCAATGGTTTACCGCTCTTAACTGTAAAAGATTGAGAGAATAATGTCCACTGCACTAGTGATTTAAGCGAGGAAAAGTTTTCTTCGGTGTTTCACTTTCGGCTTCCGTTATTCCGTGCAGCAGTCGGCAAACACATGTTTTTCAGCAGACAATTGCAAAACGCGCATGCGTGATGACAAATCAGCAAGAATTTGTTTCGGCCGTGAAATAGGACTGCGTCAGCAAAGAATTTTCCGCTCTACCGTAAGCGCCGATTTTTTCGGTTGCGGCAATCAGCGCCGTGAATTTGGCCCTGTACACGTAGTGAACAGCCATTTTGTTTCCTAAATCTGGAGCTGGTGCCTCTCTCTATAGGTGCAGCTCTGGCCACAATAACAGCGAAGTGAAAGTCTGTACATGTACTGTTATCTCGCTCTAATTTGGTTACCTTTGACAAAGGCTTTAACGAGTGGAATCTGGTGCTGAGGGGCGTCTCGTCTTCACGTTACAGTGCCGGGAATCTGTACGAGCTGTGGGCGTCCCATGAATCGTGGAATGCAGACAGAGACTCTGCCCAAATTACGGCACCGTGGTTTCCAGAGCACTTCAAGAGCAGCCTGGTGGAGGACTGGGATCGATTGCATGTGCAACAGGTTCGATCAAACTTTGGTCTCTCTTGCCGACATAGTTAATTTGACTTTAGCGCCGCCCGCGTATCTCCCAATCATGCGCGGCCATTCGGGTCTTTCGGCGTAAGCAGAGGTTTTTGTATTGCCTGCTTATGCCTGGTTCACGCCATCCAGCGTGGATCATGAAAGTGAAATGAGTAGCCTACTTTGTGTTTTGCCATAAAAGGAGTACATCTACGACCAAAATAACTACATGTACAAGTAATGTTTTTGGCCATGCACAGCGTGATGGCAAAGAATTGAGCCAACCTCATGGGACAAGCTCTTGATCAATCAAGAATAAAGAATGTGTCCATTCATGTGGACACTAAAATCATCATTTTCCATGATAATCCTTTGTGTTGTATGTTTTAAAGACGTAAAGACGGTATGAGGCAGGGGCAGCAGCCAAAACGATAAGTTACAGCTGATTTTCTGAAATTAGAAACTGATAATGTCACAATACCCACCAAAGCTGTCTATCTTCCTTATTAAACATTGTTTCATTGACAATCCCCAGGTCCGACTGTCTCTTTACAAATACGACTTCGACGTGAGTAATGATGCCTGTCTGTATAGGCGATATTACATAACTATTTCAGCCTCTCGACCAATCAGGAAGCCGGATTTCGGCCAATTTGACACCTCAGGAGCATAATTTTTGGAACCACATGAGCTTAGTTTGAGGAGCCAACAGGTCCTCACCCTTTCGTGCAAACATGCACGAGGGTTGTTCACAATAAATTAATTCACAACACAAGCCTTTAGCAAAAGGGAAAGACTCACCGATGGGTTTTTTTTTAATTTACAGCACGGTATCCGCCCTGCGCAGAAGAAGCCCGGTTGAAAAGAGCCGTATGTTGTTAGGGAGCGTTTATTTTGTACAGCGATGCCATCGTACTGCATACATTCCATATAGTCGTTTGTACTGTTCCAAGCAAAGGAAACTCGTTTGCCTGCAAAATTGCGCCCTCTCTTGGTCGAGTGCGAGGTTTATTGTTCTTGAACTGTTTGGGTTTTCACGCTATTCTACCCGTATACTAAATGGCGCTTCAATTATGACGCACAAGGGCTCCGTCCGTAAATCGAGGTGTAACACAGTTATTAATACACATCTCCTTTGTCGCCAAATCCACCAAAGCAAGGTACGCATTCTTAATACGAACAGAATGCCGTGTTAAGATGTGCGGGCCCAGGTTCAAAAAAACATCTGTATGGTGTGTAATCACTAGGCACAAAGCCATGATATAACATTAACAACGAGCAGAGTGCCACTGTTCAAACCACCGTTATCTCCTTCATCCATCAACTAAAAGACCCAAAGGTAATATTAAGTGTACTGATTAACCTTGTCTAACTGCCACTGAACAACAGTATTCAGCTTATTGGAAATGAATTAGCTTGTTAATTGTGACTAATGTTTGGGTGGCTTGCTGTCTGAATGGTCTGAACATTGGTACAAAGTTCTAGCCAGCTCAATCTTTCATCCCAAAGAGCATTACAGTCCCGTTCGGTCTAGTGGTTTGCACCTTGAGTCATTTTGATCCCTGTTTTAAAAAAATGCCATACTTGTTCACAATCTCTGCAAATAGATGTGCGTGCAGTATTTTTCGTTGCTGTGTGTGGAATATACGCACAGGATGTCTGCTGTAACCGTCTGAATGTATAGAACAAACAAAAATGCAACTGACTAGAGCCTTAACTAATGCTATAAGCTCACATATGCTTTCACTGACGCACAAAAATAATGAAATCTCCTAAAATGATCAAGCACTCACTGGTAGAGCTCATTAAACTGCTCAAGGTGGATACCGTGCTGTAACACAGCCCATCAGTAAGTTTTCCCCCTTGTTGAAGGCTTGTGTTTTGAATTCATACAAAGCAGATAACATTCACAACCTCCATTGACGTTCTTTTCCTGTTTTTCATTCCACATGTCTCCAGTTGTTTCTGCAGCCTCTTCCAACCAGTATAGATAGGCGGCATTATCTGCCAAGCCAAAAGTATACTCATCTTGATCTGACGATTCATTAACCTCTACCTCCGTTTGGGATTCTGAATCACCCTCTTCAAATGCTAAGCTTCACTCTCAGTTTAATAATTTTCAATTCCCATTCAAATCTTTGCGTTTTAGCATCGGGTTCGGATTTTTCTACATCAGAATGTCCAGAGGAAATAGCCTTGAGACAATTATAAAGTTCGTTCATTTGAAATATGTCCTCTGCATCTGCATAATTGCACATGCTTCGTTGTCTCCGTCCAGCTTCTATAACAAAAGTGACCGTAATGAGGTTGACCGCAGAAACAGTTTTCATGTCGAGCCTTGGAAGAATGATCTTCAAATGACAACAAACTAAATAACTGCTCTTTCCATTGCTCATTTGTTAATATCGGTGGTCATTTGCTCACCCATACTCATTTGCTATTATTTCATTACTCATGAGCAATGCAATGAGCAATGCAGTGAGCAAGAAATGAGCAAAAGTGCAATGGAAAGAGCAAATCAGCAACAAAAAGCATTTTTTGTATTTTTTTGAACACCCACACGTTGAATGATGAACACCCCTCTTGCACAAATAAACCATATTCGCGGGAGACCCAATTTCAGTCAGCTTCCCAACGTTAAATTTAAAGAACCAAACTCTATTTTACGATTTCATTCCGACCCCCAACATCACCCATTAAGGGTTTCAAACATATACAATACGTTCAGGAATACAACTGAATTTGGGTACCCTGCAAATACGGTCTGTTGGTCAGGACTTGTTGACTCCTCAAACTAAACTCACGTGGCTCCAAATAAATTATGCTGATGAGATGTCAAAATGGCAAAATATCCGGTTCCCTGATTGGTCGAGAGACTGAATTAATACGTCATATCGAATGTACAGACGGGTAATCACACTGAGGTGCGCCGATTCATATTCGACGGTCGTGGGTCGGACCGCTTCAGCTGGTTCTCACCCGAGCGAATCATGGAGACGCCCTACAAGGACATGAAGATTAACACTACCTACTCGCAGTTTAGTCTTGGAAGGTGCGTCCAATATTGCCACATTCAACGTTCGAAAGGTGTCGGTTGTAGCCCCTCCTTTTTGTCTTTATTGGTTCTTGCTTCAGTGCTAAAGGAACGTTATTTCCCCTTTGGACATTTTGTAGTCAGGAGTAAACCCGACTTTGATGCGTTGCACTTTGTCACTGAGAAAACCAATCCCAAGTGCCATTACACGCACTGTCAGGTTGCCCCTGGAAGTAGTCTTTTCTCCGAGCTGGCATTTAAAAATTGAAACTCGGTCGTTTTTCCGAAGTTGATTCTGAAGCGAACTGATACCAATGAGCTGTTTTGAAATCACATCATGGAGACAAAGGAAGTGATTTTCTAATCCGGACACAGTTATTAGACGACTTGTCAACGCTCAGTAATTGTCAGTTGATAGTTAATGTCTTTGAGGGTCGCCATTATGTCGTGTGATATAGGCTGCTGCGTCTTCCCTGCGTAATCTTCATTTCCAGTCCTTCATACTCCCTACGTTGTCAACGTTGCGTTTTATTGCTTGCATCTTGCTTTGAGGCGTGATTGTCTGTGGCTATTATGGGAGATTAATATGCGAACAGACCTGTGAAGGTCTATTCTGCAATTAACCGTGAACACGTCTATACGGCACATAGCTGGTATTGTTCACGGGGACGCGTGGATGTATTCTTATATACATGTATGTCCGTGTAGTGAAGGCTATAAGATTAAGGATTACGTGAATGGACGCCAGTTCTTCACTAATCGCTGCTTCGTGTCGCATTCTTGCAGCTTCATTCTCCCAGCAAACTTCGCCCACCAAAGGACTTAAAATTCAAGCTTGACATTAAGGCACCTTTCCATGTACTTTTATGGGTGCGTTGCGTACACGATGCGTTCATGCGTTTCCCTTTAACAGACACAAAAACCGACCCGCGTTGCATTGGGCCGTCAAAATTGCCCCTGGAGCGGTTTGACGGATACGCAACGCTTGTTGCCGGGGTTTACGCTCATATGGGAAGGCGGCTTTAAACACAAATTCATTAAACAAATTGGCTCTGTTTTACGCTTCACTTTGCCCGTTCATTAATTCAGTTGCAGTTCCATTTAGTAAAAACAAAGAAATCATTTATAACAAAAACTGCCACTATACCAGGGAGACATGTGGTGAAACTGAACGGCCTTAAACAGTTCTGCTCTATCCTCACCAGCCTTAGGGGAAGCCCATATTCAAGGCTTAGTACCAATGAGCCCATCAACCATACGCGGTCCTGCTTGGCAGTTATCAACGCAAGCGTTTCGGACAACTTACAACCACACAACGTGAGACAGTGTGGTATAAAAATACGGACGACTGGGAACAATCGGCCAGCAACGCGGACCAGGCTGGAGACGTACCGTCAACACTGGCGCAGCGCACTGTGGTGAGCAACAACTGAAGGCGCAGAGTGAGAAACTTCTGTCATCAAGGAAAGTGAGACAACTAAAGCTGTCGGCACAACTCTAACTTCTCTTCAAATGTCTGATGCCCTGTCTACCTCCGTACTTGCCATTCGAGAGTCGGGCTCCATAATTGTCAGTAACGAATTCGTGGGAAATGAACACTGGCCAAAAGTCATACGCAGTATGATTGAATGCATGTACAGTGAGCATTGACTGAGTACATGTGTGCCAACACGTAGTGCTCAAGGCTTGTTATCAATGAAACGTTGAGCATGGTTGCCGAAGGCGTGGATGGTATTGAAGTGTATACTCCGGGCAACTGAATTGACATTCTTATAGAGGCTTTGCGTGGCAGCCATCTTGCGGGATAGGTCTTTAATTCAACATGGTATGCAAAAAGGAGGTTTCCCTGTTGAACAAAAGGACTGCCCTGCAAGATGGCTACCACGAAAATCCTGTGTAGGGCAATTTCTGAAACACACAGTGTGGACCTGCAGGTCTATTTTGATCATTTGCCATTGTCCAAATCTTGGCCTCGTCTCAAGCCTCTGCTCCTACCTCGGACTGTTGAATAATTTTGTGGCTCAAATTGAAGTGTTCACAAATTCAACCTTCATTTAGACACTCTGACGTCTAATCGAGAGGTCTCAATTCAGGAGAGTAGACTGATTCGAGAAACCTATGCGTAGACAACGTCGAGGCTTAAATTAAGCTTAACCGTCCAGTGTTCGTTTTCACGCAGCTCACACTCAAGACAGTTCGTCATTAACAAGATGGAGATCGAGGCAGAATCCTGCCCGGGCTCATCGGGCTGGCTGGCGGTCATCCATAACAGTGACGACTGCTTATGGCAGGGGAATGCCTTCACGAACTTTGTGTACAGTGGGCAGGACGCAGCTGTCAACTGGGACGAAGGTGTGTACATGTGTCGGTATAGCACTCTCGTTTGATTTCATGAATATTTTTATGGTTCAGTGCATTGAGGAATAAAGTGCATTTTCAAGCTCTGCTACAGCATGAGATATGGGACCTTAATGCGTGCATTTCGTAGTGGTTCATGAACCAGAAAAGTGCAGTTCCCACCATAAAGGAGCTTCCGTTGCTAAAAACATTGCGCCCTCTCTTGTTAGAGCTGGAGGCCCATAGGTTCGGTAGGATGCAGCAATACCCTGACATAGGTACGGCAGAGGCTACAGAAACGAGTACGTGTACAGAACCGTCGTTTGAGGAGCTGGTTCTTGGGCTACATTCTCCTTGATAAAAAGTGAGGCTTTGCCGTTTCCCTGAGACGTTAAATGGTAGTAATGTACCTAAATGACCCAGCCCCGTCCGACTGAATTAACCAGGACTGGAAACACTCGCACATGGAAAAATCATTCGTCAGGTTGAAGCCTCTTCCTACGTGAGACCCGTGCGTCTCACTCCTAACTCACCAACTCACCACTTGATCGACTTTATCTTCGCAGTGTGTATTTATTTCTCTTCAGGTCCGGTAGAAACTGCCGACGTGCTAGCTGTCTTCGTCAGGTCTCCACGTAAGATTTTCAAGCATTGCTCACTTCACCAGTAAAAAATCTCTATAGTTACAAAACAAAGTGGATGCCGAAAATCCAAGACACAGCCTCGTCCCAGAAATTTCAAATAGCATTGAGCACCTAGTCAGTGCGCCGCTTGATTTTGATAGATGCAACCTTTGCCGTTAATGATCTTGTCTTTTTTGTTTGATTGTTTGGAAAGTCTTGCACAATCCGTGCCGTGAGGGCAGATATACAGTGATAACCGACACACGACGCAGCGCAGATATACTCCGTTACAGTGGCCGTGGCTCTGTCGATGACCGAAGCCTACAGCCCGGTTGGTACCGGATGACTGACGACAAAGGTACATCCCTCAGTATAAGCACTCTGTTAATCGTCATGTGCAGGCTTTGGCTAGTAGTTTCTGTGGTATTCAGCAAGTGTATTGCACCTAACTCTAGCTTTCTTGGCTCCATCCAGCAATGCATGTGGTAAAACTCATCAACATCTTTTCCATTGTCCTCCATATCAACCTGCGATCGCCTGAGCAGTTAAGTTCTTCCATTCTGCATGGATTCCTACATTCTCCTCCGATGCCCAAAATGCTTCATTTTTTGTATTTTTACAGGCGCCAAACTAAACATAGCTACAAGCTGCGTGGAAGTCGACTACTGCGGCACACATTATCCGATCTGGATAAATGACAAGTTGCCAGAGACGCCAGGCGAGCGTAAACCGCTGACGGGCTGCATCAATACCGGTAAACATTAGCATTAACCGTCTCGTTTTTCCAGTCCTTTATCTTCTTGTGTAAGGGGCGGTTTTAACGGCCGAACGCAACGCAAAAAACGTACATATTGAAAGGCGCCTTAACACTGCACTTCCCTTTTGCAATATCGTACGTAAACAACAAAACCTGAAACAGAAGAACTGGTTTAGCTGGAACTTGGTGAGGTGCCTCAACAGAAGAGAAGTCCTGCTATAGCCAAACAAAATGATAGCCGTTTAGCCTCCTGAACACGGGCGTTGCAACAAGTTGGCCAGTCACAACGCGCGACATCTGTTGACTCAATGCACGTTTGGAAAAAGTCGACAGATTTCGCGCGTTGTGATTGGCCAAAGCCTTGCAAACTCTTGGAGGCGCGCTATTGCAAATCGCCCCTATTGTATTACTTTCAGAGGAAGATGGCTGCTGTAACCAGAAGATCATTCTTGGGGCGATCCACTGCGGCGATTACATTCTGTTCGGACTGGACCAAGTCCCCTCCATCCTCGGCAATGACGAGCCAGCAGCCTACTGCACAGGTCAGAGAGCAGACTCATGGGAAATAAGCGCTGGCGCCCTGGACCTCTCTTTGGTCTGTTTTAGCTTTCGTTGCGACATCCTTGCCCAAACCTTCCACATTTTGCGTCTGTACTACCTAGAACAATAGTGCGCCACCAAGAGTTTGCAACGCGTTGGCCAATCACAACGCGCAAAATCTGTCGACCCAGCGCGCGTTCGGAAAGGGTCGACAAATTTCGCGCGTTGGCCACCACGTTGCAGACTCTTGGGGCGCACTATTGTGAATCGCCCGTATTAGGTGTGTACACATATCCACCGATAACTGGTTCATTTTGTCAACACATTTGGTAGAATTTTTTTTCACTGACGGTCAGCCACACTTTGGCAACAACTGCTTGGGGAAACTCAGATGGTGGAAGACTGTACAGCAAAAATATGTTGTTTTTTGTGCCCGATGCTGGTTAGGGTAAGATCACGATTTAGCTGTCCAAGTATCGTAGTTTTGGGGCTCAAGTTACTCAAGTTGTTCAATCTTCTCTTCCAGAGTGTAGAAAAATGGGAGACTTTTCGGAAACGCTAAGGGTCATTGGAGGGAGAGATCAGTTACATTTAAACATAGAAATAATTACTTGTCTGTGGAAGACAGCGGAAAGCTTTTTTTCAGAGAGGCTGTCATGAGGACATATCCTTGAAATCTTGCAGGCGTAATATGATAATAGAGTCCTGATGTTCAGACTGAGATGAACGTGATTATGTTCACAGTCACCTAAGAAAGTGGGGCCCAAATCAACAAGTTTGACCACCTATTGATGATTATGCACCGTCAAAATTTCCTCCCTTAATTCATTTGGTACTAAATATTGACCTTCGTTTCACAAAATGTCAAAAAAAAAAACAGAGGCAGACCAATGGGAGTTGGTGTTCAAGATGAGGGACGGCTTTCTCGGTCCGCTGTGGGGAGTTCCTCCCTCGTCGATCAACACCGACATCCCTCTCGCTCGCCAGCTGGACAACGAGTTCCTCGGAAATTACAAGACCAGTCGCGCCTCGTGGTTGTCAAGTCAGTCAATCAATAAGGTGATGTACATTAATCGTTTTATTTCTAAGTATCACGAATGGGTAATTTCAGAAGAATGGTTGCCCCGAAACGTGAATACTATTTTTGAAGTTTCATCACAAGAAGAGTGTTTAATAGACCTTTCAACTAATAAATTTATAGTTATACACGCATGCGCACAAATGGCCTTGGCGGCAAGAAGTGTGAGCGGGCCATTGAAAAGGTACAGGGGTGCGAATTTGATGATCATTTTCTCTCAGGTTTTCTGGCTTTGTTCAGTTTTTTCTTCAGAAAATCTCATTTAAATGCTATTAGTTCGAATCTAATCGGGATTTCTAATGCTGTGTAAAAAGACGTTACAATTGGGATTTTTTTTGCTGTGCGCAAGAAATTGCCGTAATTAAGCCGGTTTCCTCTTTTGCTGTTGTATAATAAAGATACTTATTCCTTCTAGGCACCATCCACCCCAATATTATGGACACAGAGGCTCTGTCTTTTCCAGCACCACTCATTCGCCCCCTTCACTCCTTCAGAAATGTTTTCGTGTAAGCCTTGTTACAAAGTATCTGACCTGAAATGCCTCCGAATTACCCACAACTGGGTATCATTTCTTTCGCTATTAGCCTATTCCAAGCTGTGACCTTGTTCGATACGGTAAGCTGTGTACGTACAGTACATGTACATTGAACATAAGTACGTGTTTACAAATGCACAGCTCGGCTCCAAGAACACTAACGATTTAATTTATACCAGTTATGATGGAAGGGGGCCATACTAAGAAACGACGATCGCTTGCGGACAGGAAAAATCACGATTGTGAAGTCTTTTCACATTAGAGCACTAAAAATCCCGCTTAGATGAGAAATCAATAGCAAAAACGATTTAATGGAATTTTCTCAAGAACAAAACTGAACAAAGCCAGAAAACCTGAGAGAAAATGATCATCAAAGTCGCACTCCTGTAGATTTTGAATGGCCCGCTCACACTTCTGCCGCCAGGGCCATTTATGAATTTCGTAATGAGAAGGTCTTTATTGTTCGTGTGTGTGATACCATGTCAGTACAACGACGCCCACTTCATTCGAAGTAGCTCCTAGACAGCAATTACACGTGTAACATGCAAATAGTGAAAATCTCAAAAAATATTTTCAGAGAGGTCTATTTCTACCTCGGTTGAAGGCCTAAACGCACATTAAGGTTCGTTGGACGTGAAACGTCTTCCAAATCCAGTCATTGTCCCAAAGTTTGAATATGGCTGTAACTATTGATCCTTAAGGTGAAACTCGCCATTTACAAGGACGGAAAAGAGAGGATCACTCTCATCTTTGATGGCGAATCGGCCAGCGATCGTAGCTGGTTCTCCGACTATCGGCTGATCTTCTCCCCTTGGACTGATCTCAGTAACAGATCGACCCACGCCATCTTTTTAATGGAAGGGTGAGCCAGCTCCATCCGATTACTACAAGTCGATTCTTGCAAGAGTCTCACAGGCTACTCCGAAATATAATGGACTAAACCGTCAACACGTTAGAAGTTGTTATGAAGAACATGTATAGTCATTTGCAAAAGTTTAGGACCACCCAAACAAAATACATTAACCTGAAGAAAACCAAGCAATAAACAAATCAATCACGGCAATTTATGATTATTTTCAATGTGTAAACTTAGTATCTTGGTTACACAGTTACTTGACTACATTTCCCGGATTCGTTAACTGTATTTAGTATTCCCTCGTTTATATCTGATTACTTAGACTGAATGAAAATTTCATTCAAATGGGTATACATCACGGCACTACACTGATGTTACACACCACTTTAAAAACATATTAAATTATTATTCAATAAGACAATGTAATGCAGGCCTATTGAAAGAAATACCAATAAAATTCCAGGTGATCTTAAGCTTTTGCACATTGACTGTAAAAGCCATGATCGCTCAGCAGAGTTTAAACTGCAGGCTTGTCACTTTGTCCTTTTGCCCTGTCCTCAGTGACTTTACAGATAATGACTTCTAGATCTAAACCGTGATCGGGGAATCAAGTCCTAAGATTAAGAATGTTTCCTGGAATGAGTTATCCTTACTTCGAAGGGTTCCTCCCGTGAATATTTTTTATCCCAGAGAGCAGATGCTGACTGAATACGGGACACGCCGTTGGTTGATTACCAAGGAACACATTCCATGTAGCGAGGACAGCGAAGGGTGGCTTATGGTGATCACAGATCCTGGGCGCCGATCCCCATGCGATCTGCGCAAGCCCCGGTCCATACTCTACTCCAATACAACAACGGCTGAAAACTGGTCCAGTGGTAAGCATAAGAACTCGTAAAGGTTTGCCCCAACGCTGAACCCGTGCGGTTCATGACGGCACCAGACTGAAAAATATACTTGGGTTAAATTTAACCCAAGTATATTTGCCGGAGGCAGGTTAACCATGTAGGCTATGATATCAACCCCGAAGGCCGGTGCACATACATACTAATGTACTATGTGAAAGTGAAGTGAATTTGACGTCATATATGAAAAGTTTGCAGCAGACTTTCTCTCGAGTTGAAATGTGGTCGACTTTGCGAATTCGCAGCTCCATGGTCAACATCATTGCAATAATTAGAGGCCTATATACGGGGTATATGCTAATGGCACTATATACGCACAGGCTCTACACTCCCTTGTACCACTATATAGGAGGGCCGATATTACGTCAGAGAGGGTTGGCTCAGCGCCAAAAACCCAGCACGACTGAAAGTCAATGTAAATCCTGCCTGTGCAGTTTACGGTAATGCTTCGGCGCAGGCTCACTAGGTGCACGTGCCTGCTGCGGCGCCTGCGCCTTTGCATTAATGTGCATTGCGCAGGCGTATCGCTTTCTCAAATGGCGCTCATGCGATTACAACGTTTTACGTGTATTTACGGTTAAGTTCGCCATCTTGCGCCGCTACGCTGCGCTATACGATCTTTGCTAATAACTGAAGTGTGGCCGGGTGTATATTGTCCACTGATTGCATTATAATGTGTAAACCAATTGCCGATGTGTCATTACTCAAACGGAAAGATTTTTACCATTCGTTTTTTCCAATGGAACTTCTCATCGTAGGTTCCAAATAAAAAGTTTTTTAAATCCTTACAAAATGAAAGTCTGATAATCTCCGACAGACGTATTTCGGCACTTTCAGACGCGTTTTCTGCAGTGTGCCTTAGTCACTTTATGTTATGCCTTGCAGGTTCATTGGAGAGGGGTGATTTCATGGCTATCTTCGTCTCTTCCTCGTCAGACCCCCGACGACAGTGCCGGTGCGGGGAGAATTAGACACCCGGTCCAGTCCTAACGATCTTTGAGGTTGTGAGGCATACAATCCAGTGTGACTGGAACTTACGTTGGACAGATTAGATATCAGAGATCACCGTAAATGCCTGAATTAGGATTTAGCTTTGATTTTGTTGATATTTAATGTCTAACCTAAACTCAGTAAGTGTGTGTGTGTTAGATTTTCCAAAGCAGTTTCAACCAAAATGTTCATTTTCATTACAACAGGTTCAAATTATTTTCGGGGTTTCTTCAATCGCATTGTTTTCATTTTTGTGCAGATTAGTGCGTACTTTTTTATTCCTCTGTATAGCTAATCAAATCTCCATAATCACCGGTATGTTTAATTTCTACGGACTTTTACGAATTGATTCAACCAAATTAAGATTCATCAAAGCGCAAAGGCTGTTTAATCTTTGTGGTGTCTTAACCATCTATATCAAACTGTAAGTTTTCAATTTAGATGTGATATGGCATGTTTGAGTTGGTGTTCTGCATCTGTCTTTCAGTAACAAAGTGCTCGTTAACCCCGTAGTGATTATGATTAATAATTGATCTACTCCACAAGCACTGTATTAATTATGCAAATTCCTTTTTACCATGACACTGTTTTTTGTAAGGCTGTCTGAGATTGAACTCAACCGAAATCAGAGCAGGATGTTCTTCTGGCGATTGTGCGATTGTGGAGGTAGGCCTACTCTTCAGTGTCCTCAACCATGTCCATAATTCTAATCGTTCCAAAGAAAAAAGGAAACAAACTTGGTGATGCGAAAGCACGACTGTCGTTTTACCATGAAAACAAATTGTATTTCGTTTCCCTGTATGCATTCCATTTACACGTTTTCCTGAAAACTGAATATACATCCGAAAATTCGAATCGGGAAGCATATGCCAAAGATAACTAACACGAAAAAAAACACGAAAAATGTTGGTCCTTATTTCCTTGTAATATGCCAGGCCTTACACATTAATTCTTATCATTTTGCCCTGCACGTATATTGAAAATGAAATAAGTGACCTAAATTGATAAGTGACCTAAGTTTGAAATGTTTTCAGTTCTCAGCCGTTTGTTTAAATTGATTGGTTTACTTAATATTCATTAACATATAAATTAGTTAATTTTTCTCCACATTGCATAATTGAAAGATTGAAATTTTACTAGGCGTAGAAATGCTTAATATTGCTGTTTTATTTTAATTTGTTATGAAATTATGAAGCATAAACTATAACTACGAGTTCGATATATTAGCAGGCATAAAGGACATGCATATTTGTCGACTCCCACTCAGCAGTGAATACATTGTTAAACCTGCAACTCATTAATAGTCAGCGAGCGAAAGTGACACTTGTCATTGTGGACAATGGTCCCTGGTTAAAACGCCAATTAAGTAAGGCCCAGGAATACTGGAGCCTAGCTTGATTGGATGTCTTCACAATTGCAAAGCGGCACATACAGCTGTCCGTTTTGTTGTCACACAACTAATCGTTTTCGCGGGTAGGTGTACCTCGAGACAGAAGCGGTTAAACGCGCCGTCACGCCCCCTGCCATGATACCAGTTAGGCAACTGGCTGATGGAAATAACGATGGTTGCATGACGGCCAACATCAGTCACTTATTTGCAAGTCACCGTAAGTCGATATATAGCATCAGCCAGGTTAATAAGATTTCCGCAGGGTACGTGCGTGCTACGGCACAGTTTCGTGCCTTAATTATGCACTATCGGTACAATATCGTGGGCTCTTGTGCCGAGTAACACTCTGAAGTGTCGCTCTCATGTTTTTGGATGGACTGAATCGACACAGAATGAACGCTTCAGTGCTGCGCTATATTTGGGGTACAGGAATCACTGCGGCCGCTGGCGAGGAGACAGGCGAGTAACCGGTAAATTAGTACGTGCACAGGCTTTGCGGTCATTGGACTCCATCGATGAACCATAAAATTTCAGTGCAGGTCCACGGTCCCTACGGTAACGCAGTATATGCTGGCAACATCGGCACCGTTGATGGTTCATCAGAAAACTCTGCCTGATGCCTATGTAAACGAATTTTAAACAGTCTCTGCCCTGCCTAAAGCCTGTAGATTCTACGGTATCATTAGGCTGTCATGCTACACCGTGATTAAGAGGAATGCGCATGATTGTGAAACTAATGACACGTCACAATTACATGCAGGAGATCATAGCCGCTCACGTGCCCCGAAGTACGTTGTATCATATGGTTTGCGTCTGGTATGTAGGCCTCAGATACTGCGATCCTATACGACACAACGGACAAGCATAGTGTGGATCAGTGAAAAAGAAAGCAGCTGCATCTTTCGACAGCTGCAAACCAAAGCAGGTTACCAACAAAAATGGCATAATAACGGCGCCTGACTCATGGTTCATTGTGCTGGCGCACACATGGCCTGTTTTCCGTTGATTCCAGCACGAACTGGGACTTCGTTTTACGTCTACAGTGCTTTGGAGTCGGTGCACGCTGTCTCAGGCGCTTGATTCTTCCGACCGTGGACCCTTGGTAAGTGGTTTGTTTTCTTTGAAAATTTTATAACCCTTAAAATGTGTTCAGTTTAGTCGGAGATAGAAATACCAGAGAGACACAATGTACTGGTAGAGTCTATTATTTCAACACTGGTTTATGCATTTCATTTACCTTAGATATCCTTTACAAAAAACATTGATCAGCTGAAATGCGTTATTTATTTTCCTTGAAAATTATGGTGCATCATTTGGACGAGCCGGCGAAACCCATAATATACCGATTTCTATATACCGTAGCCTGCATTTCAGTTGTGGCTATTTTTGTCGTTTCTCGTATTTTTCGTTTTCGTGATCAGACAGAAACGGCAGTTGAATAAGCACTGTATACCTTGTCTCATATGTGACCCAGCATATCAAAATCAGGAATAAGTCTCAAATTGACTTTGCGAGATATGTACATGGTCAGAAAGAGAATTTCGTAAGCTTTCAAATGGTTGCACATTACAAGTGTGTTGATGGGAACCTTTCATAGACACTCTTCCAAAATTTACAGAAATCGCCACATCGATTTTTTTTTCGACCTTTACAGTACCCACATCCTCACTCACTTTACTTGGCCATTACGTAAAACGGCCTCAGCGACTTATTGCTGATTACGATGTTCTAGGTCACATTTTTGGTATTTTTGTGTTCAACATTTACCATGGATTTAATCAAATATTTAAATATCCGATACATGCAAATGTCGCGCAGCAGCAGGTTAATAGTGACTCCAAATTGTAAACAAATCACTTAGTTTTAAAGCTTGAGGTACCATCTGCTCACGAAATAAGAAAACTGTGTTAATTGGAAAAGGCTCAGGAAACAGGAACCTTTCCCGTTGGTTAGTTGAATGAATTAATTTGCATAGCGGCGAGCCATGACAACTTTGTTTCTCTCGTTTCACTGATCAGACTTGAAAATCAACAAATAAGCATTACATATTGAACGCATGCTACATCTTCGCCTTAGGTGGCTGGGGGTTTCATTCGAGAAACAAAAACATATTTCGCACAAAGTAGTCCAATGAGTAATCCATTCCGCATATGAAACGTGACGCTTTGCTATATTTGCTGTAATCTATCGAGTCATATCATTATTGGGCATTGTGTTCTCGCCTTATAATTGAATTGAAAAAGTGGTCTTGCGTGGCCGCCCGCCCCGACGCGTGTGGCGACGGAGGCCAATCCCTTGCGTTGTCATGGCAATGGAGCACTAGCCATAAGGAATAACAACCTGCATATTTTCTACCCTCTGACAAGTGTTTTATTTGTACATATCCATTTTTTTTCCATAATTGGGACGTATAGAGATGGCAAGATGATATGATGTTTGGTTTAGTTCATGTTTTATTTAATTGACTTTTTTACACGCTTGCTTATTGATTATGCATTTTCCCTTTTCCATTCCTTTGAGTTTATTCATTCGTGAAGCAGTGTAATAAGCGAATTCCCCTTTTAAAAAAAACGACATTTTGCCTCGGTGTCACGCTTTCATCTTGTTAACTTCCCCACGAAGTCAACAGTACAAGAAACCTTTGAAGCTCCTTTTCCACAAATGTATAGTGGGATTTGAATAAAAAGCCTTTGGACCGATCGGTGCTTCGTGCCAAAGACTGGCAAGATGGGCATAGATCCTGTTTATTCTGAAATAAATAATCCACATCTCTGCAGTTACTGGCAGTGAGTACCAAAGAATCGATTGAGCGGGCAGCAGTGAATAAATAATAGTCAAACAGGTTATATTTATGTAGCGATTTAAAGTAGCGAGAGCGTGAGTGAAATTTTTCAGTCGTTCAGGTCAGAGCTAATCATCCGTTCGTTGAGCTGACAGTTCATGGAGATCGCCACTAAGGCATTTTAGTGACGAGAGCTGTGCTTAAATCGGTCGTGAATGGTAAATGAATCATACACATTATACCGTGAAGTATAATGTAATTCTATTATGAAGTGCGTGTAAATGCCTTTTTGTGTCCCATTTAATATGAAGGTTACGTTTTCTGGTGCCATTTTTAAGAGCATTTATTTGTTTATTTTCCATTTTTATTCTTAACTCCAATTTGCATGCTTATAAGCAAAAGTGTGATGTCATCCAAGGTAAAAATCTGTGTTGTATATATTTTGGCATAGACATTTGCCAGATTTTTGGATGATAAGCTGTTGCAATTTTTTGTACTAGGCTAGCGAGTCTTCACACAAAATGTTTCCAATGACGTCTCAGCAACATCGACCTCCTTTGTCGGGAAGATTGTGGTAATTTTAAAAGATTAAGAAACGGCTCACTTCAATTAGAATGAACCCAAAAAAGGGATGTGGCAGTCTGAGTTTTTTGCAATTTAAGGGAAGCAGCAATTTGCGCAGACAAGTTCCCAAGTAAATTCACCGCATTAACCCTTTGGGAAATGGTGGGAATATTTCGGAATACATGTATTTCGGGTCTGATCTACACAGACCCGAAGCTTTTTTTTCAATAATGTACCACTGTCCGGTTCAATTGGAAACGGTCTCAACCCTCCATGAGCTGGTGTGGAACGCTGATGGTTGATGTTGTCAAGAGATGATACTCGTATACAGTCGTGTATGACACTGATCAGGCTCTCCACATTCTGAGGACATCACAGGGCCCACAGAGGCCTATAGAGTTTGCAGTGACACACGGAGAGACGCGGTGTCATTTCCCGGGGCAAATCGGGCATTTGTGGAGATATGTCTGAATGGTGTTTATGAATAGCCACAGAATAGAGCAGAGCCCGCTGCATGGGTCATCTGCATCTGATCCCGGTGGAGTTGCCGTTAATTAAGACTGCATTTAAAATAGCTGTGAATAATTTCTTATAACGTAGTCCTGTTGAAAGAATTCACAGATAATCATATAGGCATCGTTTTCTGTTTTAACATCACAGATATTTTTCTTTTCGGTGTCGAATTTTGACTTTTGTTGTGAAGTTATGCTCAGTTGTGCAAAGCCGTGATTGCATTTGCTGTGCATTTATATTTCCATATTGGAAGTCTGATTTTTTTTACGGCTAATGCACTAAAGATTTTGCCTTTGGTAACTTAAATTTTCTAATAATTTGCTTAGCTATTCGAGATTTCATTCCGAGGTGCAATCTTTTTTTAAAGGAGGGTTTTGGGGAGAAAATATAATCACGACTTTCCTGTTGTCTCTTCAGGGCCAACTTCTGCGACCCATGCAAAGCTCACGGCGATGACACCGTCTTATCCGACGCTCCACCACTCAACACCACCGCGAGGGAGCTCTGTCCGGTAGCCAACTGATGGACATGGGGGTGAATTTAGCAAACACTCTTATGACCTACGTGATGGTCCTAGTTGTGTTGTGGCATGCTCGCCTGAACCCTCAAACTACGGACGCTAAAAGTGAGTGTAGGATTTTTGTTAGAGCGATTGAGGCTCTAGATTTCTGGAAATCGGAGTTACTCTGATAACTTCAAAGCTTTCAGCACCGTCATCCAAAGGGCAAAGAATTAATATTTGGGTGATATTAAAATTGGTCCTTGTTGATTTTTAAATTACAGATCGTGTTGGATATTCAAGAATTTTTGTGTCTTATTGGAAGATTCATTTTCCCCAACAAAAAATAATTTGGGTCAGCGATGTGTTCCTACAGGTTTTATTTATGCCACCTGCATGACCGTGAATAATTGAAAAACCCATCAGACATTGACTATAATTGCATTAACCGATCAGTATGTGCATATAAATTACATTCGTATGCAGTTTTGGGCTACATGGGACTTTGAGCCGTGGTATTTTTTCCTCGTTTATTCATTCAGGCATCACACCACGATCCACGGAATCAACAACGGACGAGAACGAGTTGGACGCTGTTCAAACAACGCCAGCTGAAGGAACAACTGCTTCTCACGAAAGCGTATGGGGATTTACTTTCAATTTGATAAACGTTTAGCCAAACCTGAATTAACCGTTTTAAACGCGTAAACGTGCCAGCTTTCCAGTGAAGATGTCGTCACCAAAGCAGCACATTATTATATCCAGGTTTTGAGTCCGGGGGGATTTTTCTTTGGAGCCATTGTCCACATTATTTTTCATACCCCTGCAGGACAAAGAATCCCCGCCCATCCCCTACCCCCTGGATACGCCACTAAGGGGAGTTTAAGAGCAGTTTTCCTTCAGCAGTATAAACGTGCACCTTCATAGCGCCCTCTACCCGGCCCATGCCAAACCTCCTTGGCCTAATGAAGAAACAAGTTCTTAAATTCGCAACATTTGTTTTTGGCCTATTATACTTGATGGACCCACTTTTTTTTGAGGCAGGGAAATTGATTGATACCCAGAGCGGTTCAAAATTTGGATTCCATACACGTATCCTTCATCGGCAGCGGTGAATTACGCTATTCATTTACGGTCATTAGCCATTATTACGCTGTGGTCAACCAAAATGTGAATTTACCGGCGAAAAATAGCTTTGCATTGCAAATGAGCACTAATCTCTGACAAGGGTAGTATACGCACGTGTTTTCCCTGGCTATAGTCTGACAATGTTTAATGTATGCTCCTGTACGTGTAACTTTATCAGGTACATTTGGATCGTCCACGTGACAGCGGTGGGTGCGGCAGTACCAGCGAAAGATCGGCCGGACGTACGCAAGATAATACTCCTGAAAATCAGACAACGATCACCGACACGGGTGTCGTGACCGATGATGGGCTCATCTCGGACGTTGGAACATGTGAGCCGGAAGGGGGCAGCGACGCCAACGTGTTCCTGATTCAGTGGACGGTGTTTGCCGACTGGCGTGTGCTGGTGGGACTCGCCGTCTTCGAAGTCATCGTCTACGTCGTCACGGTGACTGTGGTCATGGTGCTGCACTCCCGGCACAGAAACCAGGTCGGATCGCTCCGGGAGGGCGCCCTCACTTCGAAGTATCAGTTCGCTCTCTGAAGACGCGCTGCTGCCGTGATGCAGTGGTCGAACGAGTCAGATTACTGGGCCTTTTCTTTGTATGAAGCAAGATCAAAGCCCGTAACAAGATATTGTAAATAATTGGCGACTTTCGTGAACCTTCAGTGCATCAGTGAAGTATCCGGTCAAACTCATATACGAAGACAGATAGAGAGACGGGGCACATGAGCTTAGCCAAAACGACTATGTATTGTCAATTTATTACTAGCACAGCGCAGCACCATATTTATTTCTGATGAGTACAAATTCTAAGTTCTTCAAAATCAGCCACCCTCTTCACACTTCGTACATGTAAGGTTCATAACTTGGGGAAAGAGGATAAAGATTTCTTGCTAAAGTTTTACCTCCAAAAGATTTTGATGAATATAATAAAATAAACCTTTACTCGTTAATGTAGGCCTATGACAACTCCAATTTAATGTTGACTGCGTCGCATATATTCTTTCCTTTGCCCTTTATTGCATAACAACTTGACGCGCACAACGCACACTAAAAACTCAAGGCAAATAGCTTGGTCCCAGCTTCCACAAGTCTGTCCCGGAACTCCACCTGGGCGTGGTTGCCTGGTGGAACGCCGCTGAGACCGTGGATCAGCCCCCACCAGCTGGCCGCGATAGCCCCGCTGGAACTGCCCTCGCCGCAGTGGAACACGGCTCTATCGCAGAGATCTCGCCAGGAGTTGGACGACAATAGGGCATCGTATCTGCAACAGAAAAAGAGGGGGGAACCAGCTCCTGTAAGGACGAGCCTAAGCGTGTATTTTTTCCCTTCCTACCATGAATGACAATGCAGAAGACTTTGACTTAATCATTGTAGGGTTTTGCCACATTCGAATACGTACGGGGGAATATTCACAAAGTCCATCGGAGTTTATGAATTGGTTTCATTGGTTTTCATTTATGAACTGGTTTCATAATTGGTTTGAAGAGATTGGTTTAATTGATGGACGCGATGGTTGGACCTGAGTTATGGGCTGGTAAGCGTCGTAGCATGCAGTCTGGTAACCTAACACATCATAAGCTTGAAACAACGTTGTTCTAGCCAAATTCACTCACGTGCTGCTTTGTAAATATTAAACATTGTATTATTATGGATTTGATTGACTTTCCATGGTCTTTTTTCTATAAGAAGCTATTTTACGATTTCAAAGAGGTTGTCACGAGATTGGGAGTATACTCGATTATATGCACAGAGAATAAAAGTTCGTGAACACACAGAGAATTGGATGTGGTGTTTTCATTTTGTTTACTGATTGAATTCAGCATTGGGACGTGAACTTGAGAAAATTTATGAAATCATGACTGATTCACAGAATGCAAACCTGGCGACTATATCTTACGCAATGAGTGGAGCATCATGACCACAGCTTCCAGGAACCATGTTGTCCATCGCGAAGTGACGATATGCCTCGTCCCGTCTCTCTGCTCCGTACCTACGGGGAAACCTTGGCGCGCTTTCCCCGTCCGAGATGCCTCGCATAGACACGTACTTCTTCCAAATGTCTCCAAAGTAGCACCACGCCCCCTGGTTGTCGTCCACATCCCGTCCGGTCGAGACGACATATCCAAGAACCTCGGGGATGACGTCGAGGAGGGCGGCAGCCCACTCGCGGACCTCGCGGCGCTGCACCGCGTAGGAGGTGAAGAGCGCCGAGGTGACGGCGCCCAGGTAGGCCGTGGGGTGATGGTGGGTTATCCTCGCACACTCCACGGCTGTGGAGATCAGGCAACCCAGCTGGCCGGGCTTGTGGAAGCGAAGTCCGATGCACACCGATCGGACGGCCGGGCAGGCCTCAACGGCCGTGCGTGAGACGTCGAACGGCAGCTCCCATCCCTGGGGCTCGGCCGGCCGAAGCAAGGCCGTCGCCCGGAGGAGGCTCGTGCTGGGCCGCCGGTTCTCCATCATGCGAGCCGACATGCAGTCCACGTACTGCGCTGCGAATTCCGGCCACAGCGTCTCAGATGTCCGGCCCGTGGCCAGTGCCTCGGCCGTCGCCAGATGCAGCACGGTGTTTTGTCCGACCGGCCATTTTGGTGGCTTGACTTCAATCTTGTCAACACCGCCCATTGAAGACATCGATTGTTGGACTTCGGCACCGGATGGGCTCCCTTCATTTTTGCACCCCAGGCCCAGTGCGTCACCTGTCCCCGACAAAATCAGTGCTGCCTGGTAGGCTTCTAATGAAGTCATCGTCGCCATTTTTACGCTTTGTAAAAGTGCTTTCTGTCATGGGCTCATTGCTGAATATTATTCATTAACTGGCTTTGAAATAACTTAATTTGTTTAAGAAACTTGGAGAGAGAAGGATGACCGCGAATAAAGCCGGAGAGTTAGCGCCAGCGTTGCTTGATGACATAGAAACGGCAGGTGGGGTTAAAGGTCAAACGATAATGATTTGTCACTGGTTCCCTGATCGACGGCAGTTGAATGTAAGTACGTACGACGCGCACCAATGTTGCCTTGTGAAACGTGGATCAGACATAGACAGCTAGCTGTGAAGACGCTGGATTTTCTGCGTGTTCCGTCTACATCCTAACATGTAAGTATCCTACATTTCTTCAGTTACTTCAGTATTCACAGACGCTTATTATATTTCACTTGCTGGAGAATTGTAACAGACATCGCTTACAATAAAAAGGAATGCCAGATTGAGTCAATAAAAACATCAAACTTCTAACAGGCGCGGTTCCTGTAAACGGATTTGGAACTTCTTTCGTTTGAATGTGTAAACGTCCCACCTTTAGTCACAACTTGACTCTGAAAAAATGGTTTAAGCAGCAAATATGAATGCATCAATGAGAGCTACAGCCTGGAAAATTGACTATGCCCCCTCTAGTGGCAAGTTTTTTCAATTGCAGTTAGGGAATGAACTAAAAAATACATTTGCTGGTAATTTGCAGAAATTTATTTGAATTTTAATTGTGAAAACAATCTCTTTTCACCTAAACATCATAGCGTAGGATTATCATGGAACTTTGCAATTGCCTTGCGTTATATTGCCCCAGCAATCTGACAGATCTCCAATTTTGCTCTTTTCACTTATGCTAATTTTTCTCCCGACCACAATCATATGCAGAAACAAAATCAAGATTTTCTTACGCTAAACGGAACAAAGAATCTAGTGGTAAATGTTCAAACATCTCCTCTCGTGTTTTTATTGTCAAAATTAATGCACATGTGGGAGAAAAATTGGGCAAAACCAAAATAATGCCTGAAATGCTAAGTTTGCAAAGACCCAGTAATATGTACATATATCAAGGACCAAGGCTTTAACCACTTCACGGCGGGCCCATTTATCCATGGATGTTGATTCTGCTGGGCTGGGTAATTTTTAATTTTTTTCCTGTTTTCAAAATTCTTTAAAAATTCATAAAGTCATTCACTGGACGTTTACATCCACACAAATGACTGTCTGGTGCTACTTTAATCTGATACTAGACACATGTATTGATGCCTGAGTATTTCAGCCAGGCCTGCCGCCTTGTAAAAAGAGCCCAGATTGTGCGGTGTTATGTAATTTTCTTTTGTTCCCCGAAACTGCACAGTGCGCGGCTGGCGTCTTTTCAATAGGGGGCAGATTAGCATGCAGTGGTATTGTATCGCTCATCACTGGAGCGCTTTTGTCCCCAGTGGTGATCCGCTCGCGCTGAACGCCACAAACGGTGGTAAAATCTTTCAAAACAATGACAAATCCCGCCATTGACAACTGAAAAAAATGTTAGTAATTCCCAGCAGCTTGGTCTTTTGTTTTTCCAGTACGGTCTTCTGTTATAAGGCCCTGCTCTTTTGTCCGGTTTCAGGCTTCCGGCTTCGTGTATAAAGCCTGTGTGCCCGAAACTGGGCACCCCGGCACGAAATGGTAAACTCATCAAAACTGAGACCATGGCTTCAACCCTCAAGGCAAGGGCTCTGTACAAAATGACTGCTTAGATAACATTTGTCGTACCAGCTGATAATTTTGTAGACCCAGTAAAAAAAATATTTTTCTTTGTTCTTCTTCCCTCAGATTTGTGCCCATTTCTGCCAGAACTTTACTCATTCCTGTTAAAAAAGTAAAACCTGGTCAACCGAAGGGTCCGATACGTAGACAACTCATCCTGAACTCACCACCTGATGGCCTGGCGATGTATAATCAAACCATCGGCTGTCAAAATGATGATAGAGATACTGGTCCGTCTAGTGCTCTCTGCAATATTCCTGTGAGTGTTAAAAAGAAGAGCCCTGGGGTTGGTTCCGACGGAGAATAACTCCCAGTTTAATCAAAGACAATAAGTCCACCACAAATAGTCACAAGCCAATCCCAAATAAATTACAAGTCAGTGGTGATGAGGCAGGTGGCCAGTCGCCAACTGCCATGGCTAAATCATCCCAGCCACACCCGGGGAGATTTCTGCCCTTCCTGATTAAGAACTTTGGCTGCGCTAGCGAGGTCGTGGAAATATTTCCTGAAATTCCACCCATGCGTAAACTCTAAACCTGCTCAAGCAGTGTGCTAAAGCTTGTGAATAGACCTCCTCTCCATATGAGAAGCAATCCATAAATTTATATTTGCTGAAAATGTACACATCTTTGTTGCAAATCTCTGCAGGGTCACCGAAGAGATGGAGCCATTTCATCGCATCATTCAGCCAGAAGAGATGTGGCTGTACAGGAATCCCGTCACGGACAGCTACACGACAACACCCATGCTTTTTGTAAGATTTCCTCCCATTTTTGTACCAAGCTACAAGCCAACTTTGTTTCTCAAGATATAGGCCATTTCTGACATGAGTTTGCAGGGCTGCATCTGTTTTAAGCAGGTGTCCATACATTTGCACCCTGTGTAAAGACTTAGGCCTAGCTCTAGATACTAGATATGATACAGCTGTGTGTGTTGATTGAAGAGGTTGCCGCTTTGAACATTTGCAAAGTTTAATGTTCACTGGCCACCTGCTGTTATGCAGGAAATGTTTCTTCGCAGTTTTATAAAGCTGTCAACAACAGCACAAGGCAGAAATGACTCAAGGAATTTCATTGAATAATCTGCTTTAGTCTGCCAAAGGTTCTTGCTAAGAGCAGTATTTGTGTTTGAATTCAACGAGAAACAAGTTACATTCTAGAACTAGTATTTGTTTTCACCAAGGTTTCAGGTTGTTGAACTGTTTTTGTAAAAGAGTAACTCCTCACCAAACAGTAACTTACTGCAATCTGACGCAAACATAACTCTGGCGCAGTAAATAGTAATTTCAAATTGGGCACTTTCTTTGCAGACACACTTTACACTGACCTCTCCTTTTCCGACAGACAATCATTTCACTTGTGCCAGCAGTAGTCATTACAACATTTGCCATCATCAAACAGGATAAAAAGGACACACAGCAGGCTGTTTTAGGTGAGGCATTCAACTTTACTGGCACCCATCAGTCTTCACGAGGGCATCCGTGTTGTCTTACCCTCCGAGACAGGCTTGAACAGAGCTTATGCATGTACATGTAGTACTGGTGTCCATGGGTTGACACATCTGCACACGCATGCACGGTGCGCACCTACACGTGCACGAATTTTGATGGCATGCTACCCACATAAACTGATGGATCTGGCGTGGGGGGTGGGACAATGGGGCCACGCCCCCTCCAAAATGTAAGGAGGACGCAAATTCACTTTTGAAAAAACAATGAAAAAAAAAAAAGCCATTTTCACTTTCCTTCCTTTAAAAACCCTTTAATGTAGCCTCACCCCTTGAAGGTCCATAAAAGGCGATCCAAAGGAAATCCAAATTTTGGGGCCACTTCTGAATCAATCTTGCCCCTCCTCAAAAAAGTGGTATTGGATCTCCTGTTGTCCACAGGAATTTGCTTGTTTTTAAGAGATTAGCTGCCTTTTGTAAGGATGGATGTTTTTAGAAGACACTCAACATCTACTGAACTCTCTTTGGTCGTAGACCAGCTAACTTATTTTGCAACATGCCAACGTTTAGCAAAGATAGTCAAGAGAATCTGGACAGAAGGAATGCTGAGATGACAAAAGAAACCGGTCTTCATTTATAGGCAGAGAAACAAAGCTTGCAGCCAGTTATATCATTTTCAACTTACTGTAAGTTGCCAACCAGAAGGTTGGATTAACTACATCTTGCTTCTTGTTGAATTTTGTTCTTGATTTTTGTTCTGTACTTTGTTGCAGCCGTTACGTTGGCCCTTGCCTTGAATGGTGTCGTCACAAATTCCGTCAAGCTGACCGTAGGGAGGTAAGAGACAAGTTTTTCTTTTACGGTCCATATTAGCTTCCAGGGGTTGCTGTCCTCTTAACGAAAAAAATGGATGGATAGGCCTGGAGACATGCACGTTGTAACTTAATAAGCGATGAAAGAGGAATGCATATTGCCTAACATGCAGATCCTGTGAATAGCTCACCCTTTGAGATTGGACATGGTCAGAAGTTGACATGCAATTGGACTGACAGTGTTTAATATGGCCTATTCTTAGTACAGTGCGCCACCAAGAGCTTGCCATGGAAAGGCCAATTTTTTTGCGCTGCATTGTGGGAAATTATCAACAAACTGTAAATAATGCTAATTTGTGTAGAATGACAGTTTGGCTTTCAGTGTGCGGAATATTTATGGTCTCCTTCTCTCAACCGTATCGTTTTTATGCTTTCTCTTGAATATTTATCTACTCTGCAGGCCAAGACCAGATTTCTTCTGGCGTTGCTTCCCCGACGGAAAGAGCACGCTCGACATGAAGTGCACCGGAAATCCCGACACCATCAAAGAAGGAAGGAAAAGTTTCCCAAGCGGCCATTCCTCTTGTAAGTTCACTTCCATTGTCTTTAATATTCCACAGACACCACCAAAAATGTGTTTTCTTGCAAATCAAGGGGACGCTGTCCAAAGTGACACAGTTGGTCTGAGCTTGTGACTATATACACTACTTAGACATGGCCCTCTTTTGTTTGGCGACATTTATTCTCCCTTCCTGCCGCAGCCCTCTCAAGACAAAACAGAGATAAGGACCTATTGTAGGCAAGTTATGGGTAACTCTATCCATTGAGCAAGGTTAGAATCACGTACGATGTTTGGTTTCTCAGCACCTGTTTTTTCAAGCGTTTTCAGGGTAAATCCTGAGATTTGTTGGGCAGACCAATGTATCACATGTAACAAATTCTCAGGCAAAACCTTTTGTTGAGATGACACCCAATTTTTGAATGCAAGATGGTGATCTCTGAAGATTGACTTGATATTTGAATGAAGAACCTAACTGTAATTTACATCATTTTGATCTAAATGCCTCCCCTGAATTAGCCTTGATAAGGCCAAACCAGCCATTTCCAAGATATATTGTTTGGCCAGATAGAAGGCACTTCAATAAGGCAACAGTTAATCTCCACATTCTTTATTTTGTGTGAGATTTTCTGCCTCAGGCCTCTGGTCATAATACAGTGGATGTTAGCCTATTATGAATTACACGTCACAGCAGCCAAAAGTAGTTTATAAAGAAAGTGCAATCCACAGATGAAGTTGGTACATGCTAAGAGACTCATCCCAAATTTGGGATTATTCATGTTTTTTTCATGCTCATAAAAAGAACACTTATTTTCAAACCATGACTAAAACATATTGGTGAGGAGCTTCTTAACATACTGAGTGAATAAATAACGAACATCAAAATGCATTTTCACAACATTTGAACAAGCCATGGTAGAATGCTCTCCTGAAAGCTCATCTCTGGTGAAGGAAGGAAAAGCCATGTGGTTGATTGATTTGGTTCAGTCGGCAGTAGAAGTTGCCCTGTTATACACATAGGAGTCAACATGGCTGGTGCTTGACATTTGTTTTTGAGCTGTGTTTCAAGTAAAAAATGCAGCTTTGCCAGAATCATCCTAGCTAATAAACATGATTGGCTGGCTCTCAACAGTTTAATGATACCAGGAAAAATTCAGTGTAATTATAAAGTCAATAAAGTCAGTGTGACATTTAAAATACCATATTGACTCAGAGATGTCTTGTTCTGGCATGCAACCATCCATGCCTGATCTGCATGAACAGAGATACATTGTTTTTGCCGTGAAACATATCAAAAAGAATTGAGTTGTTGGAATAACAAAGCAAGATGCATTGTTTTCCCATGAAATGTGTAAATTCTGTCCCATATGAATGAAAAGCAAGATGGGCATCTTTGTAAAAAGGTCTATGTAGACTAAACCGTCCATCTCTAAAAGATAAATGGAACTGGATTTATAATTCAAGAATGGCAGTTGCCAGTATTTCAGAGCTGTGACGTTTTTCTCACTGTGGTCAATTCCAAATTACACTGCTTTGCCTTGAGTTTCTTTTCTGAATGGCGCCCTCTAGTGGTTAGTGAATTCCTTTCTACCAAATGTTTAAGAGATCAATTTACAGATAAATACCAAGTTTTGATGGTTGTTCTGCATTGATGGTGTCCGGAATAGCTTCTGTGAGTTTTCACCTCAGTGCAAGATATGCATGAATTAATACATTAACTAGACAGTCGAAAGATTGCCTCTCTGTTTTGAAATCTGGAATATGGTTTCCAAGTCGAAGAGCACATTGCTCTTGGCATTTCCACAGCCTGACCCTTGGGTCAGCCTGTGATGACAGCACCCCTGAGCCCTTGACCAGAGACTCTTATGTAATCCCAACTGCAGGCCGGTGCCCAGCACACCTCAGACATACATGTATCATTCCACACTCTGCTGCAGTTTATAGCGCCCCCAGGCAGTTTTTATCAAAGCTTTCTAGATCCTACCATGATTCAAGGGCCTCTATCTCACCTTGCCTGCACTTTTTGGGGCCTTTGTAATAGAGATGCATGTATTCACAGTGCTTGGCCAGAGGGACTTAACCTTAGTATTAATTTACCAGTCGGTAGAGAGTGGGCCTGAATTTTTGTGAAATCTTTAGCGTGCTTCCTGAATGAGTTGAGCTTTCCCTGATTGTCCTTGGGGTTTAACTGTGTAGGAAGTACTTGTCAGATCCCTTCAAAGGCCTTAAACTCAAAAGTGGCTCTGGCAATTGTGACTTACTGGGGTCGGTCAGATTTTTTTTCCATTTGTATTTCGATGTATTGCACCTGCAAATATTCAGATTAAATGATCGAAATTGAAATGTTTAATTATTAATCGAATACATGAATATTGTCTGCAGGCCTATCGCTCACTTGTATTTTCCTGATATGTTTTTTTCCCAACTCGCCAGTTGCTTTTGCGGGACTGGGATTCACAGCCCTGTACCTCGCTGGAAAACTGCGCTGCTTCGAATCCCAAGGCAGGGGGAGTTCTTGGAGGCTGTGCCTCTCCGGAACACCGATGCTGGCTGCGACGCTGATTGCCCTGTCCAGAACAGCAGACTACCACCATCACTGGCAAGGTAACATTCTATGTTTGTTCCCTGCTGTACCAAATAATATTAACAGCGGGCAGCTATCATGCACTAAAATAAGGTATGACATCATGTCTAGGATATTCTCTTCTATTTTTAGATGCAGCGCCAGCCCGTCTACTTTCTTCACTAGTCAGCTGAGTCAAAGTTGTGCAAGAGTAAATTTCTGCCAGCAAAAGTACCGGGATAAATTTCAGGAACCTTTTTTTTGAAATTGTGATGCATGTGAGAAAATCTGTGAAGAGATTAACATTTATGCACACCAAGTTTTAGAATGTTTAAAAATTAATGAAATGGGTCAGGAAAACTTTTGGGTTTTTTTGTGGCCAGTGCAACTACCAGACCTATAGATCTCTCTTGTTGGAATCTTTTGGTCAGGGAGACCAGACCAGGTAAAAGTTCAAGCAACTTGATAAAAGTTTTGGGGATTCGTCAGCCAGAGGTGTTTGACGCGGCAGTCTTCTCCCAACTTGCCCAGACCCATATTTCAAGTTGGATAAGTAGGAGCCCAATGTCAACTGGTGTGTGTGCACGTGAAGCTTTCCAGAGGTTCACGCAAACAGTTGGCTCTCTTCCAGGATGCCCCTTCCAGTATGACCCCTGACATGCTGTGGTGAAATTCCCTTTGCCTTTTCTTTTCTTAGACGTCCTGATCGGCTCCCTGCTCGGTTTAAGCATCGCATTCATGTGCTACCGTCAACACTTCCCGCCCATAGCCCATGCCAACTGCGACAGGTGCTACGCGTCTCTGACACCGTACGCGACCCTGCCAACTTTCAGCGACTCAACAAACTCGGATTTTGAGCTCAACGGGATTGCATCCACCCTACCAATGGATTCAGACAACTCTGTGAAGCAGGTTTGATGTGACTGGATAAGTTGATACCTTTATATTGTTTTTTTTTTTCGGAAGTTTTTGCTAACCCCCAAAGGGGGTGGGGCAAAGTTTCCTTAAAGATGATGATATCGCAGTTACTCAAGCAGTGGGTTTGGGAAGGCAGAGGTCTATGCTGACCCACATGATCTTTTGACCTTTTTTTTGAAGTCTTCAGCTCTGTTGAGAACGCACGTCTGTGCGCAGCAACTTCAGTGTAAATTTATGGCAAAAGCGCATCAAATACTGTGCCCTCTGTCATTTTGAATTGTAATGAAACGTTTGAGAGACCTGTCTTTCTTTGTATCATGCACCCTGAGGTACGCATCGTATTCAAATACACCAAGGCCTCTCTGTATCTGCCAACTACTGCACAGTCGCCTGGTGTTGGCCATCTCATGGAATTGATGCTAGCACGGGCACAGAGGGAAACTAAATTTTGAAGTGGAATAACATCCAGGTCAATTTCCATGATTCCTAACATGACTGAAGCGTGGGGGTGGTGCAAGTCATCACCTGAAGACAATTCCACCCGGGCATTGTCCTGGGATACAGTGAATTTTGATAACAGGTTTTGTAGGTGAAGTCTGAGAGAGTCTGGTGCCAGGTCCCAAGAGTGGTGCTAAGAGATACATGTACATGTATTCCTTGGGATTAGACCAGAACCAAAGCTGCAAGAAGGATTCAAGCCCGTTGTTAAAATGTGGCCGCCGATGCTTTCAGAGGTGCATGGCTGCAGCCTTCAGCAGATAGTTACGTCAAAGAACCCTTTGGGTAAGCTGCTGAATCCCGGAGATAGAGTGTGTCAAGTGTGACCATGTCACGGCAGGGGTTAAGGTGAACCCCCTGCCGGTATTACGTAATGTGTACTGAGTCACCATCCCCGCTCAGTGGACGACTCTGTCCCAATTTACAGCTGTCTGTGGCCTGGTCAAGAACTCGGTAGCATGTCTGCTGTGCTCGTCATGTTTGGAAAATTCCAGACCAGCTCCAGAAAATTGGGGAAGTCTACATTTTTTCCTGTTCTTGTATTTCTTTTTTAAATCCACAAATTTCAAACAGGGTTTCCACTTTAATTTTGACAGTCTCAATGTTGTTTTCAATGGAAGCTAACATCAGTGTGGTGAATATTGTATTTCATTTTTAATTTTATTTGGTTTAAAACAGTGCTCTTGATATATTTATTTTCAAAGTGCTTCATTAAATGCTCCTAAGGTTGTTTTTTTTTCATTTTGCTCAATAAAAAAATTGCAGACTATATTTCTTGAACATAAGTGCTAGAAAAACTTTATACATTTTTAAAATGAAATAAAATGCCTATTATGCAATGAAATGCTTGTTCAAAGACCTGCTGAATGGTGATTTTGTGTATGCGTTTTTGTTCGCTTTTGTTTGGGTTTTCTACAAGAAGTGTAGTTACCCGTGTTTGCATTCAGGATAAAGCACCTTCAAACGTTGACGTTTCTCTTCAGAGAACTTAAAAGTCCTGTTGTAAGTCCTCAGCAACCGTTGCCCGATTCACAGTTAAGATATTTACAGTTGCCCACTGTGACGTTCGACGCATCGATTTTTTTTTTCTTCGTATCACAGCAGCTTTCCCGATCATTGTACTTTGAGGATCTGTAAAGTTTCATGTTCGAGTGAGGTCGGGCCTCGCTGTCCAGGTCAACTGTCCCAGCAGTCCATTAGTGCGCGCCGTACTTATTCAAAGCAGTCTGTTACAGGTTATTGACCTCCCCGACCCGGCCAGTTCTTGCGCAGACGCAGTATACCGTATAATACTCGACATATAGAAGTGGTGCTTAAGAGGCGCGGGAAAACCAGTAAGGTTCGGGCAGCTTAAAAGAGCAATTCCCTTTTCCATGCTCTACCATTTCGTGGAACTAGAACTTTTGTTTAAATACAAATACTGTAATGTTAAAGTAGGCCTTATGTGTTCCCGCAGGCCACCAGTATGCGTGAGGGCCAAGTAAAATAAGGAGAGATTGTAGGGCCGTTTATGGGCCTGTGATTGGATCCTGGTCAGAGAAATGACTCCATCGGCACTCAACCGTTGACATATCGATTTTCATCAACCCTTACCACATATCGATACTCGCATTACTCGAGAGTGTGGTGTGCACGGCGTATGCTGCCTGTGATATCCTTGGGCGAACTGCAACAATTATTTTCTCATTTTTAGTGCAAACGCAGCATGCGTTTTTAATACTTGCCCAGAAACGGAAGTGTGTCGAGGATTTTACTTGTGATCCTAAGACTCCCGGCGCAATCGGTGCATGGCGTTCAAAGTAGCCTTACCACTGTTGGTAAACTCGAGAAACGGCTCCAAAAATACCCCGTAATTCTCAATGCTTCCCGTTGATATTGTTTGCTGTTTACTTATGACCTCGATGGCATTAACTGAACAACGACCGGCCGCGTACAGATCGATAACGTCAATTTCAACAAAGCAGCACAGCCCAGCTTTCTGTGAAATATCACGTGCCCGCGAGGCTACAGAAAGAACCGACGAGACGATGGCTTGCTTCTATTTCTCCAGGTCACGTTTCTCCTGGTTTTTACTCGGCAGAGGAACTGTTAAAATAACTCAGTGCAACGCATTTGGAGGTCAGGTGTAATAATTAACGCTGTCGTGAGCAAGAACACATTTTTGCCGCACTGGTGAAGTTTCAATCGCGCGCTCTGAAAGCGATCCCAAAATTGAACGCGATGGCCACTCGGCCAAAGTTACATGTCCTTAAACAACGCACGTTTAGTTCTTGCGGCTTCCCCGGCTTGTCCACCCTAGTTAACTCATACGGGATAGAGTTGGAACATCTGGACAAAATACTGCAATTTAACTGGACATTTCGTCTCTTCTTTTGTCTCTTCAGGGGGATTTTGTTTGGGGGAACATATTTACGTGACCTCGTTACCCAACATGAGGTCAGACGTCCGTCTCAATTTGGGCAAACATTTCACCGTAGCTATACCGACGGGTCCTGACAAAGGGAATGTCAATTGGAACCAGGGTGTCATTGAGACTATGACCAGACCAGACAGGTGATGATTGGCACCTTGAGGGCTATCTTTAAAAAAAATAGGGCCGAGATCGATCAGAATTTTGGGCTGAAGGAAGCATTCAATTTTCCCCTAATGTATAGCCTAGGTCCAGACAACCTTGCGGGGGGGATTCATAGAATACCACAGCAGGAAAACAAACTTTCAAAGCGTGTGGGTGCGTCGATCGGTGTCTAGCTCACTGAAGACATTCCTGTAATTCGTACAACACAGGCTGATATAGGTTTCAGACAAGAAAAACTCCCCCAGAAAGTGACGTTCATTTCTGATAGTAGTCAGTGGTAATGGAGTTTGATAATATAAATGGGCATCTCGCCTTTGGTTGCGTAGCAACGAAGATCGTAACAAGACATATTATTAAGACGATTACAACGACCCATAGTTTCCAGGCCGGTTAAGGCATAGTTTAACCCTCTCGTCTGTGGCCATGTTTACAGAAAGTCTACAGAAACAACTTAATCCAGAAGAATCAATCAGTTTTTGTTTCCTCAAGTAAAAAAATACCTCACATAAAAGAAAAAACGAAAAAAAATTTTAAATGTCCCAATCAGCCTTCAAGCAAGTCGGCCGGGGGTTGTCGTTGATACACAGGGGTAATCTATCTCAGTAACTATAACCTCCAGACGACGCACGCTCCTTCCGATATGACCAGAGAGCTATAATAACGGTGTGAAAACACCGTGGCCATCAATCGTGAAACAGTCAGCAATGACACCTTTTTGTGCGCGTCCGAGGCTCTCGCGCGAAGAAGACATCCCGGCCCGATGAGCCTCCGATCTGTTGACACGACGTATGTGACAAATCTCATCCGGCGGTCTTGTGAGTTGTTTGCTCAGCAGTTTCTGCGCCAATGTAATCGCATGGCTGTCACATCTGAATACACGTAGCCTAGCCACTGTAGCCTCACGAAAGTACAAGCAGACTAAATATACTGAGCATGAAAGGAGTCAGTATGCTAATGGATGGACTTGCATGGATACCCACGTGAATCCAGACAGGCACTTTTTTTTATATTTTGGTTATGGTTACAGGCGGACCAAATCACGATTTGTTGGCTGTCCATTTCTCTGCTGTTAGAGCTTTTCATGGCACGTGGACTGGGGGGGGGGTTGTTACAAAGGTGGATGTAATGCAAGGGCGCGGGCAGGACTGTCAGCTTGTAATTCTGAAAGTATCAGACCAAACGCCCCCCCCCCAATTGCTCTATTTTGCCATGGAGTGTAGGCATCAATTTCCAAAATGGCGATGGGCCTTCTGACTCTTTTAGGGGTGATTTTCTCTGGAGAGAAATATCTTCAAAAGTAATCGGTTAAGCCACTGAAAATTGAAAGGAAAAAATGAAAGATGGGGAATGAGCTTTAATTTAATATGTGTCTTGAACACCTGTGAAACTTGTTGAGTATTTTTCCTGATTTTTTGAAGTGGGAATATTTATCACTGTTGTCTATGGCAACTGATTTACTGGTCTGCACCCTTTATGCACGGCAGCCATATTCCCAGCCAGTGCTTTAATTTGTTATTGGGGGATATGCACCAAAGTCTAGACATGTGTATTCCGATTGAACAAAAACACTGACCGAGAAGATGGCTGCAGCGTGCATAACCTCTATTAGTTACTTTCCAAATTCCAAAGAATGAAAATTTCATTCCCTCAGATTGAAACTAGAGGTTCAAGACGACTTCTGTAGTGAAATTCCAACGTTCCAATAGATCAAGATTCCCACCCGAGTTTCACACTGGGAGTTGTTCGTTTTCCAACTATTTTTAAATTCGGACTGATTTTTCACTCGAAATTATTTATGTCATTGGAAAATCCAATCTTGGGACAGTAGAAAAATCATAACGACACAAATGCAACGAAGCATCAAATGTAAACGAGCTAGGGGAAAAGATGTGTACGCTTGGCTTTCTGGTAATGAGTGTGATAATGGCTACCCGAGGGACCAAACATTTTCATTCCGGTATATGCCCAAGGATGACATTGGCTCTCTTATACGATAGTGTTCGTTGTCGTCTATCGCATTGGCCTCGGTATACATCATTTATTTCACCCCCCGCGACTGTTGTAACAGTATGAATGATTTAGAGAGATATTGCGCCCCCTCTAACTCCAGTCAGTCAATCTTCCCGCTTTGCTCTACCCACTCGATAATTTCAGTCATAACGGTATTTGAAAGAGTTATCACTGGGCTGAACTCTCAGAGAAAATCAGTCTTGCATGAATTGGATTATATGAAAAATGCATGATACTAATTTTGTTGACATTTTATTTGTTTTTCTAATGAGTAACAAATTTATTTGGGGGGTCACAGCCATAATGAATGAAGTTTTGGTGTCATGCATTGATTTGTACCTAAATCGAATGTTGGGAGTGGTTTAAATGAACGGGAAATTAAGATGCCATGAACTTTGTCAAATCATGTTTCAAAGTTAAGTATTAACTCACGCAACCGAACAGCTCACTGAAAGGAAAAGATAAAATTTGAAAAACGTTCTTCCACTGAACAACCGGCCACTGTGACTCTCGAGCTGGACCAGAGCGTATGTTTTCCCCTTAGCAACGGAGGCTCCTTTGGTCGAAAATGAACGTCGCTGGTCTACGAACGACCAGGAAATGTACGCGTCACGATCGCATCGCTACCAACAACACTCCAACAACAAATGGCTTTTTTCAACCGATGGGGGGTGCTTCTACTCGAGGCGGATTACCGTGAAGACATGGGATACCGTGCAAGCTGTAAAGCAACCTAATGTACATTGTATGGACTGTTCAAATGGGGTACGTGGGGGAGAATGTTCCATCGTGAGTCGACGGGTCCAAGCCCTGCTCCGAGTTTGCCATTCTTAAGATGCCATCTTGGAGTGGTAAAGTTATGCGGAAAAATGGCGCAATTTTTAGTCATTTAGGTCATACCTTACAAACGTGTCATTGATTTGCATTGAACTGATACTCCTGTCAGCTGAAAACTATCCCAAATTTTCATTTTTCTGGAAAAAAAATCTGGCTTGTCTTAGAACCCCCCCCCCCACTGTGCTGTTAATTTGCTGCTCTTTCGTTGAAGGTTAATATTTATAGGCCTACACAATAGCTGGGCAAGGTTTTGTGTGTCAATTAAATTGTTTTCTCTGCGGTGAGCGGAATATCTACTACTAATCCGGTTTCAATTATTTTTAAATTAAATTGGTTTTAAATTTTCTCTGTTGACCTTCATTCGAGAGAGCAAATATTCGTTATGTATAATAATAGTTGGCGCTTTGTTTATCACAAAGAAAGATTTTGTCCGTTTGATTGTTGTATTATTATTAAGACCCACCATGACTATGAGAACATTTTCTTAGTAAGTCGTTCTATTTTAAAGACCGCGTTTTTGCGATGGGTACTTTATGCTTTCGTCCGGCGACTGACAACTGAGGATATTTTGTGTGTATGTTGAGGTTTAACCTCGTGCACATTATACGTTCCAAATATGGAGAGTCATCAAAGCATGGCATACATGGAGTCTTTTCGAATCCACCGTCCGTCGATCATTCAAGTTACTGACAAACCTCTTTTGTCTTAATTTAATGGGAAACGGAATATTCGACGCCCAAATGGCGACCCTTAGGGGGTGTTAAATAATGATTGGGTTGACCCCACATGGGGGTATTGCATCACCTCGCTGCCATATTTTGATTTTCAGTATGTGTAACACTGTATCTTGTAAGTTGTAGCCCTGTCTACTACTTAGCCCATCTTTATCATGGGGCAGCCATCTTGTTTTTTTACCATGCAAAGCAACGGTAACCAGACTGCCGGAAAGAAATATAGTCTTTTCCCTTTTTCAATATGTGAAGTTATATTTCTTGTGTCAGTCGGTCTAAGACAAACCTGGCAGTATCATAATAAAGGTTTATAGAGCTAGCTCCGTGCATTGAGACTGAAGGTTCCAGCCATGTTGCTCTTGTCATACGGCCCAGCCTTCACAAAGAAGTCCTTGCACGTCGTACAATGAACCCATACAGAACATTCTATAGGGATTCTTTAAATAGACCAACATTTACGCAGCGTTACGTAACTGGGATCTGTCCCCTACCGGCCGGCGCCCAGGCAGGTACTTTTTGGAGGGCATGGAAAGTGCATTGCTCTTTCACTGGCTGCTCTCGTTGAGTAATGGAGAATGACTCCCACACGACGTTAAAAAATGGAATATTTTAACATGTGTTTATTATAGCTCCATGATTTTAATAAGTAGACGTCATTACCCGTAAGCCTTGGCTGAAATATAGCCTGCCTAGGTGTTTGAACTAAGTCTAAGCAAAACGTATGGTCAAACATTATCGGAATTAATTAACCTGTAAAGTAATTTCACTTGTTTGTAAAAAATAACTGTTGATAAAGATTTATTAATGTAACCATTTTGTTTGAAATACTACACAGACCTCCGCCCTGCCAAGGTGTGAATTGGAACAACAGTGTGCAGTGATTTAGTTTCCTCGTCATAATCTAAAGGGATAAAGATTTCCTTTTCAGACGGAAGGGGTTGAGTTTGCCCTTTTCCCGTCGATTGGGATTTGTTGTAGGATTTTTCCTAACCGTTTTTTTTTCACCCTGATACTTCCATTGTGATGTTTCAGAGGAAGTTTTAAAACCATCTTAATCATCGGGATATATCGGCAATGAGCAGGCGTGAACACTGAGCTTCACTAATCTGCCTGCATGCAGCAGACACTTGCCAAATCGTCCAGAAACGTCAGATACTGTGCTCGTTCCCAGCCGGCCTGGGGGTCGGGAAGAGGTTGTTGATAACCATTAATGTCTGTTCACAGTTTTGCCATCTTTTTTTCCTCTTATTTCGTGATATGTTTCGGTTTTACCGTACCAATAATGAGGACCCGACCAATTCGGCTCCACGTTTTATTTGTTTAAAGTTTGCCACAGCAGCAGCAAAGGTGAAATAAGTTTTATTTCATTAGGAATATTTGCTGTCTTCACTTACGAAGACAGGTGTCATTGTTGGTTTCATAACTCATTTCTGGCCTTGTCCCTGCCCTTCCTCCGTGGTCTGTGGTGGCACAGTCTCTCAGGGCGCGTTTGGGCTTTGTGGCGATTTAAATAATGCGACAGTGTCTAGAAAACGATACATGAGGACCTGTCTTTCGCCTATTAATACGCGGAAGTGACCAGCATGGATGCGCCTTGCCGGGAAACTGCCGTCCCTAGCGGGCAAGGCTCACCCGCGGCGCACCGGCCACAGGCCTTAACACCAAACAGTAGTGACCATGGCCCGGCCAATTACGTGCGGACATTGCTGCTAAGAAAAAAAAACACAAGCGAGTTGCAGATGGTGCGTGCCTAGTCCATACACATTATGTGCGTCAATGGTCAACAGTGGCCGCGCTGTGAGTGTTGTATCAACGGACACTCTGGAACGCACCTTCACGTCACAAGTGCGGACGTAATTATTACTGCAGCCTCCTTCGGCCGCAGTTTGGGATGTAAAAGTTGCGAAGAAGCCAACGGTGCTTATAATTATGCTCGATAATTATGGAGATGTTATTGGCATTCATCATCTTGTGATCATAAACGTTGGAGGACTTAAACGCATGCGGGGAAAACGTTTACAGTCGAGACTGTCCACATTGAAGGGGCGAATAAAACGACTCGGCGAGGCGAAGGGAATTCGGCTACCGGCCAGTGCCCCCGGAAGATGGCCTGTTGCATGCTACGGTCCATCCACCCTTGTCTGGCACCTTTCACCGGACCCCTCTTTCTATCTCCCTAGTTCCCGAATGATTGTCATTCAAATCATCCCGTGAGGGGTTTCTCTGCCTATCGACTGGACACCAACAACGGTGCCAAGTACGGTCACCCCCCACAAAATATTGTGTGTCTCGTGATCCCCCGCCGACCCAACTTAGCATAAAGTCACAGCGGACAATGAGGTCGAGACCCTGAGACTTCAATTTCAAACAAGCCTGAATGACTCCGGTGTTATTCCAACTCAACCGTGGAGGGATTTGGTTGGGTTATCGATCCTTGATGAGCCGGTAAAAAAAAAAGGAGAATGGGAGTCGATTTATGAGAAGACGGGCCGTTGGGGGTCGAGGAACAACACTCAACCCGATCACAGACCGCAGCTCTCGCCGTTGACGTGGGATGTCTTTTCTCGGGCCGAGGGTCGAACTGGATGTTGTACTCGTCCACGGAACTTCGTCGACTGAGGAATGGACTGTGGCTGCCGATGTCCCAAGCGGTATGGCCCATGCTGCTGCTGCTGACGCCGGAGCGGGGCTGACCACCCTCAACACAGCGTTTCTTGCCACCGCCAACAACGCGACGGGCTACGCGCCCTACGCACCCCCGTACCCGCCGTGGGCCAGCATCTTGATCGCCCTGCTCATCGGCATCATCATCATCCTGACCCTCTTCGGGAACATCCTGGTAGTCCTCTCTGTCTGCTTGGACCGCCGGCTTCGCAAGCCACCCAACATCCTCATCATCAACTTGGCCGTCTCCGACATGGCCGTGGCCGTCGTGGACATGCCGTTCGCGGCGGCGTTCGAGCTCAAGGGGGAGTGGGTGTGGGGGCCCGCCGTCTGTGACCTGTGGATTTCGTGTGACGTGCTGGTCTGCACCGCGTCGATCATGACCCTCTGCATGATTAGCGTGGACCGCTATCTAGCCATAACCAGGCCCATGATGTACGTGAATAAGCGCACCCCACGCCTCATGGGAGTCTTCATTCTGATCGTGTGGATCGTCAGCGCCTTCATCGGACTTCAGCCGCTGTTCCTGTGGGGAGGCAACGAACATGAAAATAACACCTGCCTGGTCTCCCAGGACCCTTATTTCACCGTTGTGTCGACCTTTGGAGCATTTTACCTTCCCCTGACAGTTATGTTGTTGGTCTACGCTCAGATCTACCGGGCAGCCCGGAAGAGCGAACTGGCCGATCTCAGACACAGGCACCGCACCGCTATGTTCAAACTCGAGGCACAGAACCCCGACTCGGGCACCACCAACACTAGTCACCGGAGTCACTCTGTCGATTCTGCTGCCGCACATTCCTCGAGCTCGTGTGAAGATAACCCCGCCAACGTGCCTAGGTCGGTAGAGAGGAGACCGTCGGCCACCAGGGTGGCGGAATACCTCTTGGCGCGGGCGAGGCTCTCGGCGGGATCTGTCAAGCCCAGCCCGAGGCGCATTTCGCTGAAACGCGAGCGCAAGGCAGCCAAGACGCTGGGCGTCATCGTGGGCGCCTTCATCTTCTGCTGGCTGCCCTTCTTCATCCTGGCCCTTGTGCGGCCCTACTGCAACTGCGAGATTCCCCCGCTCCTCAACTCGTTCCTGCTCTGGCTGGGTTTTATCAACTCCCTTCTCAACCCCATCATCTACCCGTTCTTCAACAAGGACTTCGGCCCCACCTACCGCAGGATGCTGAGCTGCCGCTGTCTCCGCTTCCGGAGGACCTCTGGTGGGAGCTTCTACCGGCGCCAGGTGACCTCCATCCAGGTGACCTTCCCCATCAACGGACACCACGACGAGGAGGAGGACAGCTCGGAAGACGAAGAGTATTCCACCAGTCGGCACCAGGGTAGGGTGCAGTTTACCCCCCTGTCGGAACCCAGGATAATGGAGACGGAAATAAACGGATGTTTGGAGAGGAAATTAGGCGAGGGCCGGCCGCAACGAGTTTAAAAGCCCACAGGATCAGATTTTAAGACGTGGATTTGTGGCGAGAAGGCAGGGCACACAACTCCTATGCCTTTAGCAGTGTTTAATCCCCTGAAAGTTGACCGTGTAAAATAAGCCTTTTTGACTAAATTTTTGTTTCTTTTGTGATGAATGCCCCACAAATTTGCTACTTTTCCCTGCTTGATTTGGGGCATGAAGCTGTTGTATGATGGGGTTATAGCAAATGTTCAGTGACACACAGTGCCGAAACTTTATTTATGTGAAAGACTGTCACTCTCAGTGAAACATACGCTAAAGACTGAGCTAAAAGCGTGACCTGTGACCTGTCGTACTATACACATAAATATGAATGTTGTGGTCTTCGCACACATCCCAAAAAGTTGATTTGCACTTTCACACCGCCTTCTCAAATGGGATGTCCTCAAAGACACCGTGAACAAATTTCTGCTTCTCAAACACGAGAAATACATTTTGTTAAGCAAAACCTTAGCACAATTTAGGCGTTGTGGGGGGGGTCCATTGTGCGTGTGTGTAATGCAAAGCCACCACCGCTGGGGCTCACGTCCTTAACTGAAATATTCAGCTCTCCTTCCAGTCATTGTACGCTCCAGTGCAACCCCTGTTGCAATTTCTCCCGGTGTTGTTACCATCCCGAAAATGCAGAAGAGAAGATCGATGGTGATTCCCGGCGACAGCCCAAAGCAGGAGCCCTCCGAGGAGGGTCCCCTTACAGAGCGCCACAAAAGCCGCGTAAAACTGCTGGGATTAACAGTGCGTCTGAACGGGCTGTCTTGTGGGCCAATGTGATCCTGCTGGGATCGATTATCTACGCAGTTTTAAACTGTTTTGATGCCATTGTTCAGTAATGTAATGCTATAGAGGAAAGGGATTCGATAGCGGTTAAGTTAGCCTATACCAGTGTACCCGTTGTGTGCTGATTTTTTTAGGCCCTATGGCCGCCTGTATACAGAAAGAGCCAGAAATACCAAGATGGCGGCGCCCGCGGAACACACTTCTTTCTTGCCCTGTGCGATCTGCACACTTTTCATTGATAGTTCGCTACTTGTAAACAGTACAGATGAGGCATGACATTGATTCACGGGCTCAAGTAACTTCTATATCCGCAAGGTGTAAGTAAATTTGCACTGATCCGCCTCAACGATTTTACGACCATTTCTGTTTGGCTTTGGGCCAACGCTGTCGATAGGAACTAGAAAGGGCCGTGCAATAGTTGCTCAGTAACGTTTACGCAGTTATCATTGACATATGCCTTTATTGGTTCCCCCCTGCAAATACTTCTTAATGCACGCAGTTCAAATACTGCAATTTCAAGTCTTTTCAAAGTGCCCCTCGCCAGTCAAACTCCACGGCGAGCAACCTTCAACTGCATTAATTTTGTTTTCCGATGGAAGCCTGTCTTGCAGTTTTATGTCGGTGGTGGTTGTATTGAACGCTTTTCCATTGTATAACTTCATTCCCCGCTGAACAAGGCTGAATCTGTCCTCTGTAATTTCTCGGGATATTTTGAGGTTTTATACATAGTTTACACATTGGAAGGAAACTAGTCTACACCGAAACAAAAGTTGTAGGCCTAATAGATGTTAATATGCATATTATATATTTAATAAATTATCAGGAACACAATGTGTATGTTACTAACGATGAAGTTGACGCACAGAGGTTGTATTTTGTTTGATTTTGTTGCAAGAAAAGCAGATTGGGATGTTGTACGAAACCTGGACATTGTTGGGCCCGTAGATAATTCCAAGAAGACTCCACTCCTGCGGGGCCATCGCACTTGGCGCATGCCTCAACATGAGAGCGCGCACTTTGTCAAGTCACGACGCCCTATTGGTCAGAGAGGAAACGCGTGCGTACCACCTGCGTAGAAACAGGATGGTTCCGCAGTGTTCGTGCGTAATCCTTTTCGCCAGACTTGCTCCAACTTTAATTGTATTTCACTGTCATTCTCGTCTCGTTCAATCCGTTGATGTCACCAGGCATGTTTGACAGCTTTGGCAGTAAAACAATTATTTGTGAGTCCCTCGACGAGTGGTCGCTGCCGACAAATTTGATTTAATCGAGGCTCATTATGAGACATCAAGGTCGGTCCTGGCAGCGTTTGGTCTCACGGCCAAATGATGACTGAATGGACTCTGCTGTCATCCCTAATGACAATTTCCTGCGCCAATGAATCCCTGCAGCAGCCAATCAACTAAAGTACAGTATGTTTACCAAAGCTTACCACATACTCCGCGCGGCAAAAGAGATACAACTATATTGTTTCCATAAGGCTTGTTAAATTGCACTCTCCACATTGCATCTGATTAAATCTGATGACGCGCGTGTGTTGGCCGACGCGCGCTTTTCCCGCCCGACTCATTTACCTCTCACTACAATCCACAGGCCATCAAGACTTTCATTATCGCGAGTTCTGTCAGGTGTGGATTCCTATACAGAATGTCTAAAAACGGAGTTGTTTTCTCCAGATAAATGTTAATTTTTAATGCGACAGTAGCGTTCACATGTGCAGGATTCGTGATGCGGGTTGACATTGCTCACTGGGACAACTCTGCACCTGACGCGCTAGAATGACTTTCACCAAGACTGGCGGACATGTAAAGTGGGACATCAAAATTGTAGAGCGCTCGTGAGACAAGCGAGTGTCTAATCCACTTTAATCCCGACCACAATGCCAATTTGCGCCTTTTTTTCTCTCGAGATCGCCTTAAAACCGCGTAGGTAGGTGGTGCGCTCCGAGTGGTTTAAAGCACCGCCGAATTCGTCCCGAGAGACCACCGACAAAACAGTACTCAATCGAGCCCGCGCCTCGACAAGTTGAAGCCAGCTGCGCACGAAAGGCCTATCCTTTTCGGCGGGAAAAGACTTCAACCCAAGTCTTAATTAAAGGAAACCATAAAACGTCCCCACCAAGACAGACGTGACAAGGGAACGTTTTTCCACTGTTTATTCTTGATGTCTTATACACAGGTTATTTTGAACGCGGCCAGAATAGATCTTAAGAAGTTTCCGTGTACAGTTTGTGTTGACAGGCAAACCTAAAGAATGCATTTCTTAGGTCACTAAGACCCCCATTTTGAAGCCGAAGCTCTCGGATGATCAGTGCTAAATTTGGCAGAAACTCTCCCCGGGCGTTACCCGGTATGGATCTCGGTTCGCCCTGCTCTGCTTTGTTGGTACACTGCCGTGCGCTTGGTGTCAATAGAAGTATCTCATAAGCATGACTGAGTGTCATACCAACGTAAGAGCTCCATGCAAGCGCGTTGCTGGATCATGGCTTCTTGTTCACGACACTGGTAATTCCGTGGAATTCTAGGTTTTGTGCGGATTACATCAGCCTTACTTGATTGCTTCGAGAGAATAGCCACGAGAAAACGACGCCTTTTAAAGCTCTCTTTTGTACTTTTTGAACCAAGCGCTACTAGTCACTGTTATTACATAAAATGAAGTTTTAAAAGGAAGACCTATATATTTTCTTAAATAGCTCAACTTATTGAGAAACCTTACAAGCCTTCTAATTGCTGTTTTTCTCCCGTGAATGTTAATATTACAGTTTTAAAGTATCTCATTCATCACACTATGGTAAATTTAATATGCTTTCATGTTTTAACGAATAATGATTAATTTTGCAGCAGTGTGACCCAACTTGACTTGTGAACCAGGTTCGAATCTCGCCCAGGACGACTCGTGGGTTGATTAGATTTCCAGTCCCTCACTGATTCCGTTGGCATGGGTGCATAGTGAAAGTAAAACTTGTCTTTTTCTTTCAAAGGTTTCCTCAAACCGAGCTGTAATGTTCTTGCACTTGAGAGGTTGGTTCATTTTACCGAGAAAGAAGAGAAAGGGAAAAGGCATATTTGTTTAGGATGTACCATCGAAAAACAGGAGGTGAACACGCTACATAACTACTTAATACTGTAATGTATTCGTTAATTTGGCCGTTGTGCAAATCCTATGATAAGGCCACTACTTGGCTGCGGCTTGAAATTATACACGACTCTACGGGTCTCGGCCTGAGACACTACCATAGACTCGCGTGTAATTTTCAGGTTTTCGGCTCTGGGGAAACCTATCACGCGCCAACTCGGCCGGCGTCACGTGCACGGCAAAAGGCATGCATTTTGCTACTAATTAGACCTATTGTATACATGTCCATTATTTAATCACGTAACAGGTGCTGTAATCTAAATCATAACTGGGGTCCAGAGAACTCCGAGCGTGCTCTGAAAGCCGGTACTGGCCTCGACCAATTTTATTTTCTTGTCTGATGAATGACCTTCTGCTAATGCATTCATTCTACGAAGTGCAAGCGTTTTTGGCATACCACCGATGAATTATTACCTATAGAAAGCGCTGTCAGCGTCGTGCCTTGCCGGGGACCAGTGGAATGCATGTAGTTCCACAGACATCCGGTAACGAGAGGAACTCCTGCAAATTCATCAAAGTGTGCATTTTGCTCGGTAATTAGGTCCCATCCATTATGTAGCGATGTAGCAGTGTGTCTACGCAAGACGAACGCATAATTCGGAGAACCTTTTTCAGAGGAAATCAAACCTTTCATTTGCCTACCCTAAGTGCTATACATCAAATTATTAAGTTCAGTAGCCATTTCCCATTCGAACAATCAATGGTTTCTGGAAACCATCGTGTGATCTTGGCGTTAGTGCGATTAAAGTTCATACCTCCAAACCATATGTCATTTCATTACAAACCATTGTTATTTACCTAGCTAAGGAGAAATTGCATCGATACCGAGAGCGGCATCATCCGCTCGGTCACCCAACTCGAGTCGCCCGATGTCATGCAGCTCGCTCGCTCCCTGCCCACTGCCTCCCCATCCAAGAGTTTTCATGCGCAGGTTTTCGTATCCATGAGGAGTGCGCATAGGCCTACGTTACGGAAGAGTCGATCCCATATCGCTGACAAAATCTGCCCATTGAGAACTCGATGGAATTAACCATCATCAGCATTTTGGCCGAGGTGGAGGGTACAATCTTTGCTCTACGCGCACAGAACGAGCAGTTACAGCCGGGTAAAGAGCCCCGCAAACAAGATGCTTATCGACTTAGACATGGGACTATCCTTAACATCACTCTACATACATGGATTGCTGTACATGTATTGATTGCCGACTGGCCGTGTTACCCAGAATCCTGTCAGGTTAATCAAATTACCCAATGGTCCATTAATTAAGGTCATACAATCAGAGTTGTTAGTGAGCGTGGAAATGTTCATTGTTTTCACAGTAGGTCGTGTTCCATTGAGATGGTGTTGCGGTGGTGGTACACATCTCCTTGGTTCGCCAAACTGTTTGAAACATTGAAGATGACACGCAAAGGTACAGAGCAGAGTATGTTGGTTAATTGATTCGCAGTTTAATAGCTACATC